CGCTGCAGTGAAGAGCAAAGACGGGAAACTGGCACAGAGGACGAGAATCATCGCGAAGAAGAGGCAAGCGAGGAAAGCAAGAAAAGCTGGAAAATAAAGGTTATGATTGCATGTCGTTAGTAGCATTAGCGAAGGCGTTGATGTCAATGGAAAAAGTGGTTATTGATCCATGTTTTTGCTGACTTTGTCTCGTGTTTTTCTTCCGTGGCCTTGGACATTTGACAACATGGAATATGATGAAGAAGCAGAACATTCCGCTGCAAGCCACTTTACCCACTGCCGGAGTCTGGCCGATGATTCGCCCCGGGCTATACTCGCTTCTGCTTGTCCCTTGTTCTCTTGCTACCCGCCAAATCGTTGTCTTGGTGATTCGTTACAATTTCTGTGTGTACGCTGATTTTGTCGCCTAGACTACTTCCGTCGAGACGCCATTCCTTTTGGGTACGGTGTCCTACAGGGAAGACGATTGATAAAATGGAGGCTGGCTGAGGAACGGGGAGTGTGGGAGTACCAACCACTCGAGACGACGTGTCGTATGGAGAGTGCATAAATGTACGAGTTCATAGAGCAAGCTATTTCTACGATTCACAGTGGCGCCAACATGTTCAGGAGCTTAGACTTGTACTTGAGACGCATTCGACGTGTACGTTTTAGAGTACCTAGGTAGTCAAACTCGTGTATGGCCTCTTTAGGATCATATAGTTTTGCAATTTTTGAACAGTCCACCGGTTTTTCCCTCGGCGGAATATGCCGAGGAACGATATCGGAATCTGTTCGTACGGATCCTGCATTGTAGTATTGCCGTGGTGTGCAAAGGAGCGCATATGCAGTGTTCCGACTGCAGTGACTGGAAGGAACATTGCGCATAAACGCTCGCGGGTGAAGCCGTCTGCACAACTTATCGGTTCGTGGATGCGGCGTATGTACGAGAACGCGAGTGCCTTGCTTTGAGTTCGATACCGAGTCAGAAAACACAGACAAAGTTGATAGCACTACTCATTCTGATCCAAAGATCGCACTGTTAGATGAGATCGATCTTGATGGATCTTGTGTTTCCGGAACATCTGATCGTGTGCCTAAATCGGGTGCGTCTTCCACTGCGTATCTCTTTGACGTCTACTACTACCACCAACAAATCAGGTTTGTAGTAACTTTCTCCAGTACTCGATACACCCTACTGCCAGCCAAGGAACAGCCCCTTGAGTATCATGGGTCATGCTTCACATCCAAGGCGGATAGAAGACGCGGCTGCCTTAAGAACGAGCCGTAGGCACAGCTCCAGGGATGTTTTCCTTGGCTGCAGCTCAAATCTACCCTGACAATCCGGTCGACTTGTATACAGTCGTAGCACAGGGATAGCAGGGCAGGGCAACGATATCAGCGCCTCGAGAGAAAACCATCTGCAAGTGCAAGGGCCGGCTCACAGACCGGTTCCCCAGAGCCTGCTTTACTCCTCGTTCACGAATCGTTTTGCATGGCGAACCTTCTTATAGTCTCGACATCTGTAGTGTTCTGCGGCAGTACAATGGTGGCTTGGTAACTTATGAGCACTCCCAGTGCTTTTCGTTTGCTGGTACCACTAGGTGCCATCCAAAGAAATAGACCAGATTAAGTGTGGGGCTTTACAACAGGTAGGTAATGAAAGACTTCCATAACCATTTTGTAGAGTGGCACAGTGGCTTGACCATGATAGTAACAACTTTTGTGAATTTGTGCGAGGAAAAATGAACGACGGACAACCAAGCTCAGAAAACACTCCCCTATGAGTGAAAGCGCATGACAGCAAACGCACACCAACGATCTGGGGGTTAAACCGGGGAACCGGTTGGAAGCTGTGATAACCAGGGTAGGGAAGGGATTGGCTTCCAAGTCCTAAGCCAGTGAGAGGTTCATGCTCATGAACGATGTTCAGTGTGGCCATGCTATCGGTCGAGCTTTGATAATTGGGGTCCATGCTCGCATCTTCATGTCACCATGACATGCTATACAAGGCCAGATCGAGAAGGAAAAGATCACCCTTGTTTATTAGCATGCGATGTACGCCCCAAGATCAGATGTGCTGACCTGATTCAACTACCGACTCGTGAGAGGCTACAGACGATCGTGTCAAACCCGGCATCTGTGCAGCCGTGACATGACTACGTGCTGAGCACAACGGGGAAACGGGTAGTTCGATGCATGCTGGACTTTTCGTAAATAGATCCGCAGCCCCTGGTACACTAGTTTGATCAACGGAGCGTAAACAATCGTTCAGCAGAGCTCGATACCTAGGTACCCAAAAGCTTATCCTGCATACCACGGCCAGCGTCCTTTGATTCTCATGTGCGTTCGAGCGCAAAGGTGACTTTCCGTAGACTTTTAACTCATGTTTGTTAAGCTTCCACCGGGACGAAAGCGTATTGTCTACAGCGACCATGACCGTGGACCGTACAGCAGGATCAATTGAACGCGTCGGGTGTCCGTGTAGGTCGAACCTGGGCAGTGAATGACTCCTTCCCAGACTAGCTTCTGGCAGACAAGTTGGGTGCGGTGTTTTCGCCAATGGCCAACTTTTGAGTAGTCGAGCACCAAGGCTCAACTACCAGCATCTAGGAACCGTGAAAGGGCGTGCATGAGGGGTGCCGGCTGCAGATGCGTATGAATCCTTCCGGTATGGAATTGTGTCACAGAATTTTCAGTCTGCACTCTGTTCCAGTAGGAAGGGAAAAAGAGCGTGGGGGTTGCGAAAGTACGACACGACTGACATCTTTGACCTGTCAGGCAATCAGCTAGCCTAAGCCCGTATGTGATGCGTAACTCAGTTACTGCAGGCACTCTTTCCAGTAAATGAGATTGTTCAAAGGAAGGCGCGACCAAGAAGTTTGTCAAAGAAGCATATAAAGAGTCGCGGCTTTCTCCTTTTCAGTGCAGCCCCCAGACTTCCCCAGATTTTCTCCACAACCTTCTCAAATTTTGCGTACCAACAGCCTATAACACAAAAGTTCGGCACGTATATACCACGGCCACCAAATCTCAAGTACAAGCCACAAACGTGCAATCTCGAGGTACGTTTGCAAGGTTCCTCCATAGTCAACAATCTGACAATGATTATAGTGCCCGAACACAAGACCGAACAAGCAGCCATACCATCGACACAGAAGAGAATGTGCTTTTATGAGAAGATCACATTCTCTTGCAGCCATGTTGAGCACCTGCTCATACAGCATTGCCATTTCGCACGCAACGATCCTGGCCATCAATGTTTCGGCGCTTGGAACGTCAGACGAGAATGGTATCAACGAGAGATGAGTTGTAGCGACTGTGTAAGACAGAAACAATACAATTCTGCAACACATGGGGGGCAGTCAGCATACACCGTCGCCAGTGGAAGGTAATTGTTCCTGCACGAGTGGGAAACAAGAAGCCACCCATAGCTACTTGTTGTATATCTAGTATTTTCTTTGTCTCAAAGAGCTTATATTTTCCCAGCGAGTTTCGAGTATCTGGATCAGACAATAGGAGGAAAGACTGTAGTCGTACTTGTTGGGTTTCTGTCATCGTTGTACGCCTGGGCGGTCGTATCGTGCTTAAGCGACAGGTCTTAACGCCTGTGAGATTCGGGGTCCAAAGCCACCACGTCCGGCCATTCACACATTCACTGTATACCATTAGCTCTGTATGTGCATATCACCAAATATAGGGTAGGTCGAAACACAATCTCACGCAAGCTGCAAACGTTGTCCGGTGTGCTTCTGAGAAGGAGACTCACACTATTAGCGGCTCAACCAGACATGCATATTGAGAATGACTCGGAACTTTGTGAAGAATACTCAAGCATATGCTAGCGGGCAGACAATGATGGGCGTACTGATTTAGCGAACTGGATGGCGTCAGGGAAGTGCTACTTGTGGCCTTGCGGGATGAAGAAGTCTGTGGCGGAGTGAGGCTTGTGCGACCCTAGCCTCAGCCCCACCCTGCCATGCCGAAGCTAACATCGTGACTTCCCACCGTGGGCATTCAACGTTCCACATCACCAACATCGATATACGGCCGTCCACCATGTCAGATGCTACAGAGCAGCCGAAGAAAGAGAGGTTCGCGCCAAAGCAACCCGTCACACTGAATCCACCGAAGGATGATGTCATTGAGCGCGATTACCTCGCAAAGTGTGATGGTACGGCTTCTCCATGACTGGCGAATGCTGGGTGGCCAGCCGCTGACTAGCAGCAGGTACAAATGATGGATTTCCAACTCTAGTCGCTATCAAGGTATGTACCACTGGTCCTGAAGTATGGTATCTTGCACATGCAGAAGGATTGACTTTGATTTAGGGTGACGTCTTTGACGTGAGTGGTAAAGAGACGTATGCACCCGGGAAGGGCTATCACGGTTCGCCACCTCTGAAAGGGATATTGCGTATCACAAGAGCTAACCCCGTGTGCCAGTCTTTGCGGGGAAAGAGCCCAACCGCGCCCTTGGGCTTTCTTCCCTCAAGCCTGAAGATTGCATATCTGACTACTCAGAGCTTTCCGATAAGGAAAAGCAAGTACTCAACGATTGGCATACATTCTTCAGCAAGCGGTACAACATAGTCGGCCGATTGCCTTCGGAGGGTGCTAATCTTTGAATAACATTCTTCTCCAAGTCCCGGCTAGGAGACGAACCATTATTGACTAGCACAATGCAGAGAATCAAGAAGGCTACAATCTCATCTGTGTAATCATTCCGTCGCGGTTGCTTTGTCATCAGTAACGCCCCCAATCTCTGTTTAATGACGACTATCAACTGCCCATACACAAATCACCTTCACCTGCCAGTTGATCTTGTACGGCCTGATAATAGGAGACTGTTGGCGTACTCATAGTGCAGAGATTCAATAGCCGGCAGATTTCTTATATAGCTCCTACTCCACCAGCCTGCCTAGCGACTCAGCAAGTACCACAGATCGACACTAACCCACACCATAGTTTGCCAATCGACATCCACAGTACAATCTCTAGCATCGTACCGTGTTGTCTTTGCTAAGAAGGGGACTTTACCATTAGTGCGATAAGAGAGTGCACAACTTCTGCAGCAGCCAGAACGGTGGTTTCACCCGGGTTGTCGTAGATAGGAGCCACTTCAACTGTATGGGGTGTACTATATCAGTATTTACCAATCTCACAGTGGACTTGCTCCAAACCAAAGGATACTTACCGACATCTGCTCCGATAACATCCAGTCCTTCGAGACCATCCAATATGGACAAGAGTTCTCGCGTAGTCCAGCCACCGACTTCGGCTGTTCCTGTAGCTATCATTCTATGTTAGTTACACCGTTACCTAACCTTCGAGAGTGATGACTTCGAAGTATTGCTGCTGTATTGAAGGCGACCGCTTGTGGCACGGTGACAGTTCTGTCGCACAGAGGTATGTTCCCAACAGTGACTTACCAGGTGCGAATGCAGGATCAAGCACATCGATATCGACACTGATGTAAACCTTTGTTCCAGCCACCCGAGACTTCAGCCTAGCAATGACACCTGCTACACCGAATTGATCGATTTCTCTGGCTTTGACAATCTCGAACCCGCATCGGATATCATTTCGCAGATCACCCTTTGGTCGTCCCATTGGAGCTCGAATGCCTGCGTGAATACTAGTGTTTCGAATCAAACCTTCCTCATGCGCGATATGTAGGAATGTTCCGTGATTAACACCTCTGATTTGAAGTCTCAGCAAGTTATGGAGTCAATTTCGACATGCAGACTTACGCGTAATGGGAGATGCCTCCGCCTGCGGTATATTAGTAGCTAGTCATGCATCGGGATGACTTTTCTCACCGAGTACTTCAGGGTCCCACGTGTCTTCCGAGTAATCAGCAAAGTCCAGGCTGTAGTATTACTAACTTACCCAGATGGCTGTCGAAGTGGATGACGCTAACCGGGCCCCAATGGTTGTGAGTCGATCGCAGCGCAGATAGCGTTGTGGTATGCTAATCATAGGTGTATGAAGTCAGTGTATGTTTCACATACAATTCGCGCAGGCACTTACATCACCACCCAACGTCACAATCTTTGGTGTTGTGTGCTCGCTCGAATTGGTAGGTCTTGCGGACACGATCTTGAGAATAACAGTTAGACGCCTGAGTCGATCACAACTTGGGGTTACTAACTTCATGTGCTTTGTCAAGCTGCTTTAAGGCTGCAGTGTTGTCCTTCCAAACTGGTTAGCTCTCTTTCTTCTCTATTTTGCTGGATCACCTCACCAAGAATGTCAATGGCGCATCACCGCAGTCAACGATTTTTGCCCAATCCTCAAGCACGTTCTCACCTGAAAAGCTTTAGTAATGCATTCGTGTCTTATCTCATAATGACGAGCGAAGCTTTGCGATGGCAAGTGGAAATTCAACAATATCGACATGCTGGTCATAGCACAGCAGGTGATTTGGCGCGCGAGCCTTACGAACACGACACGTCAAGATAACGTGGTGTGACAAGCGTCGTTACCAGTATCACCGCCTCAAGTGAAGTCCGTGCTTGCGGAACCAAGCTCAAGTCCCTACACGCACACCCCCACAACACTGTAACATACCTGTATATATGGACCAAGCACTGGCTGGTGATATCCGGCTCGAGCCCTGTCGAATTCCACTCGGGCCGAAGCGCGCTCCAGGTCGTGCGGTAACACCCTACCGGGTGTTAGCCTTCTCCAAAGTGATACGTCCAACAGTGACACTCCGAGTGTCATCCACAGGACAAGCTTGACCTACTGTGTCGAATGGTGCACCTAGGATTGCAATGTCAAATGGCACCACATCGTGCTGTTTCGGGGCCAAACAGTGTACGTAAGGAAGGTTGGCATATGTCATCAGACCTGCGAACTTCGCATGAGTGATATCTAATCCAAGGTTCTGCTGAGGAATGATTTGTTGCGACGAGTATCCAGAGACTGGTGGAAAGGTAATGTCTCGAGCGCTTGTGAAGAGCTGAACAGACGACAGTAGAAACAAGAATGATAAGAGCCCCATTATGAATGTAGGAGTATTTGAAAGATGAAGTACTGTGGGTAAGGAAGTAGAAGTCTCTCATGCAAGTATATTATATGCTTATCTTCATTATTCGTTGATGGCATTCTGTACGGGCGCTCCAAGCTCCAAGCGGCAGGTCTAGCCGATCATACCCCTCCCAAGCCCTGCAACGGCTGCTAGTCTGCTACCTCTTCTAGAACTTGCACATAATGCGCAACTCCGGAACTCTTCATTGTCCGCAGGTTTTATTCTAGCAACTCTAACTCCTCTTCGTTTTCGGTGCCGTCCTTAGGACCAAGGAACATGATATCGTGCAAACATTGATCCCATCCCGTTCCTGAATGATCGCCCGCCAATCTCTTGTTGTTCGCAATCTCTCCGAGGCGCCACCAGTATTGAACCTTCACCAAAAGACCTCCTTCCCTTCCTTCGTCCCACAAATTGACGCGCATTCCTACCCATCCTTCCTGAATAGCTCTTGATTTCATCTCTTCCACAGTCAAGCCAACAGGCGCAGTGATGTCATCGGAGCCAAATCCGAACTCGCAGGGCCGCAAAGGGCGTATGGTGTAGACGCCTCGCTCTTTTACTGGCGTCGTCGCCCGCGATCCCGTTGCATAACAATCAGAGCGATCCGAGCTGCAAGTTGAGGATGGAACAGGTGCGTCTATTGGTATCTTCCCCTGTTGTGCGTCTCGCAGATACTGCACGATCTCATCACGATTGGTTGCCGCATAGGAAGGCGTTGGTCGGCAAATTTGCATACAGTCTGGAGAGAAGAAAGAGCCTTTGCGGTCGATGTCTCCAGTGTGCCGATACGCGTGGTAGGAATGCTTGATGGAAGCTACTATATCCGTTGTAGGTTGTTTGTAGTCCGCCATGGTAATTTGCAATCGCTGTTCTAGGGCCTGCAGCTTCCCTTTTATAATTATGGACAATTTGCAGACTTATCTTTAGGTTCTCTATCTTTCGTAGTGCCATGCACGTAACGGTTGCCTTAATAGTAGTGGACAAAGCTGAGCTTGGATGTAAGCGCAAATGACTCAGCACTCCTCTGCCGAATCCAGCAATGCACTGAATTAGCAAGTAACCAGATTTCTGAGGCACCCGGCTCACGAAGAAATACGGAGCTACTTGTTGAGTACTAACTAATCAGCGCCGTTACTTCGCATTCATACAACAGCTCTTTCGTCGCTAGACTTGCAACACCAACCACCGTATCAGGTGGTCTATGTCCTTCAGCCTCCTTGTCCATGTATTCCATCCAAAGCTCTCCCCAGCCACGATCTACAACGTCTTTTTCGTCCTGCTTCGGGTCACCAGTTTCCTTCACAATGTAATGTCGGACCATGACCTGGATAGGAAGCGTAGTTAGCCAAGTCGATAGGAATCAATCACGACTCGGGGGAGTTTAATGCGTACAATGTCCCGTGGTGTTGCACCAGCAGCGGCTAAGCACTTGTGAATGGAATCATAAGCGCCCTTTGCTTGCTCTCTGAGATCAGAAGAGATGGGTCCATCTTTTCGCATGCCTGTTTGACCAGCAAGAGTGATCAGTTTGGATGATGACACTACAGGAGTAATGCAGACTTGATTGTAGGTTGGGGCGGGTTCAGGTACGGAGGGTGGGTTGAATGCATGAGGCTTTTTGGATGCCATGACTGGAGTTTACAATGCCTGAACGTGTGACGATTGTTTATGAGCTCTACATGCTTCTCATGTCGAGTATGACCGGTGAGCTATGAGGGGTACGTTCGCGTGTACCTGCCGTGGGTACTATGTGGGGTACTGGCGCGAAGCATGGGCCATGGTGACATCATCGTCTTTCGTCACGCGAATCCACTTTCAATATGCGAACCGAACGCGACAGACTGCAAACACAGTCCGGATGGCTGATTAAACACAACCTCATCATTGGATCATAACGGGGGTACTTAATTGAGGTATGAGTATCCACCTGCAACCGGACGAATGGGATGCAGCCAGACGCGCCTGCATCCGCCAGAATGCGGGGAAAGCTTCAGCGACCAGAAGGTTAAAGCCGTGAGCTTGTGACAGCTCGCGCGACCTCAGTTCACACCACCTACCTCTCGCTCGATAGATACTGCTGAAATTATGGCGTCTGGCTGGTTCAGCTCGTCGTCAAGCGACCCAACGCGTCCTCCTGACGTCCGCTTCCAGGTCGCTGAAGAGAAACCTCACGGTTTATACCTACAGCCCAGCTCTGGTGGTTCGAGATCCGCCACGAACCGCTCAGCGGCGCCGAATTCTTCGGCTTACGTGGATACAACTCACTCCAAGACGCATGTTCACAATGCTTCACTCTTCGACGTAGGCATCTTGAAGGACACGCTTGTCCCTTCGCTCACCCTACACTCTGGCCTGGCTCTCATCGCATATGGGGCTGCACGATACACAAACCGCGTTGAAGCCAAGGACTGGCTTTGGCCGAGCGGTCAGGTTGTGAACGCTTGGTGGTCAGCTGTTGGACGCCGTCTCGCTCAAGGCTACACAGTTTCCCAGGCATTCAGTCGTCTATCATGGCACGAGCGTGTTATCCTTACCGGTGTCACACTATGGGGAGGACGTCTCTTCTACCGTATCGTTCGCCGCTCCCTTCAGCGAGGTGAGGACGATCCGCGATATGCCGAGGTCAAGAAGGAGGAAGGCTTCTGGAACAGTGCTCTGTTCAAGGTTTTCGTTCCTGAGGCTTTCTTCCAGATGCTCATTAGTCTTCCATTTACCGCGCCGTTCCGACACGAAGGTGCTGTTATGACAGGTTACCATCCCTTCGTTCAGATGCTTGCCGTCGGATTGTTTTCATCTGGTCTGGCTTTGGAGACACTCGCCGACTACCAGCTGGACCAGTTCAAGGCAGAGGGCAACAAGGGCATTATGCGCGAGGGAGTATGGAGCATTGTCCGCAACCCCAAGTATGTATCCGTGATCTAACTCTACATCACACACTAATTCCTTAAAGCTACCTCGGCGACGCCCTCGTACACATATCATTCATCGTCATGCTCTACGGTTCCGACATGCTCGCTCCTGTAGAACTCTTAGGTCCCGCCGCAAACTATGCCTTCCTCCGCTTCTTTGGCGGCGATGCCGAGAAAGAGAAACACCAAGAGCGTCGATACTCTGCTTCTCAACCCGACAAGTTCCGCGAGTTGGAGAAGTTCAGGGCTGACAAGAATGCTTTCTGGCCAAGCGTTGATGAGCTAAGCAACAAGTGGCTATGGACTGTCCTGGGCGTTGGAGGATTGGGTATTGCAGTTGAGCAAACGCTTAGGGCACTACACTAGGTCTTACAATCTCAATGTGAGGAAGTGCCGTCTAAGCGGATGGCTATAGGATGGGGTTTCAGTCTACTTAACCAGACTTGTAAGATACAATTAGCCTGCATAATTTTCAGTTATTTTTCAAATCATGCACGTACCTCCTACACATTTAGAGTTTCAAACGGTATCACCGAAGCTCTGTTCCGGCTCAATATTTCACAAGCTTGATTGACTGTTCCATAATTTGGAGAGTCTGATGCGCAAATACATCAACGATTGTCTGCCATAACAAACGCTTAATTCGCCAAACAATACCGGCAAACCCTCCAACTCCAGGGATTGTTCCAACTCAGTACCAGCTTCTTGAGGCTGCTCCCATCTCTCTCTCAACGCATATTGATATATCTACCGTCGCTGTGTGAACTCTGTAGAAAGATCAACAGTAAGCCATGGATGGAAAAGATCTTGCCGGAGTCATCTTTGTAATCGTATTCCTTCCTCTGATCATTGTCCTTACTGCTCTGTGTCTTTGGTGCAATTGCCATCCTCGAAGTGGAAGAAACTGTCAAAAGCCAACTCCATCACGTACGACTGAGATTCAATTGCCTTATTTCAATTCGCCGCCATTCGATGAGCGTATTTCTCTCCACATACCAAACCATCATCCTACAACCGTTCCAAGAGATATGCGCCGAACAAATATGTCTCCGGCCAGCCTCAATACACTCCACGAATTCACACGGACAATACAACACATAAGCTTCCTATTAGGCAGCAGAGACGACAGCAGTTACGAGATGAGCTGTATGACGGATTCGATATCACGCCTGAGGTGGTTAGACCGCAGTCACCTGATTCGGCCTATGCCGACCTAAATATTACTTATGAAATGCTTGGAGGGCGTCGGAAAAGGAGTGTGCTAGCGCGGGCAGGAAGACCCAGGAGGGGATCGGCTCCTAGTTGAGGAAATATGGGGTCAGTGTCGAAGGTTTGCTATGCGCGAATTTCACGGTACCGGGACGAACTACACTCGATCGAACGGGTCGATCTATTGTAAATAGGAGCAGATAGACCTTGTCAGCTGATAGCGCTTGTATACAGCCCACGAAAGCCGTTTGAGTTATCGACACGTTTTCAACAAACGATCGCTTCAACGAACGTAACTACGCCATGATCAACATGACTGTCGTTCATGAATACAAAGTCAACTGTCACTGCACAGGATCCATATTCTCTTGACTAGCTCAATCTGTTTCAAGCCCAGTGTACACGTGCCCATTTACACTATGAACGCAAGAGACAGAGCAGATATGGTCTTCATGGCGGTATTCATCCCATGCTTGGTAATTGGAGTGCTTATGTGCTTCTCCTGCCACCGCAGTCGAGACCGACGAAGTCGACCTCCCCGTTCCCAGAATCTTCCCACGCCTAATCGTAGCGGTGGAGCGATTGGATCCCCTGCACCAGTTTCGACACAAGCGACAGCACCATTATCCGTGCATGTACCTGACCACACTGCTTCTTCCCATCGATCATCGGCTCCTCCCACACGGACCCATTCAACTACATTTGCCCAAGGAGCAGTACAAGCAGCTGGCCTGCCGACGTTCGAGCAAGATCAATTGCTCCAGCAAAATGGTGCCATAGGATCGATAATAACTGGTCCAACATCGACACCATCTGTGACAAGTCATGCTTCGACGGCTAGGCCGGGAGGTAGCACAACCCAGACAGGGCATCGGACACAGGCCTCTTAGGGTTGATAGAGATGACTATCGCCACCAGACACGCAGTCAGTCAAAGTATATGCGATGTCGTTTCGCCCTAGAAAGGAGGGTCTTGAAATATGTTTTACTGGCTATTGCAATTACAACATAAACATGAATTTCTTTCTTTCTCTTCTCATGCTTCCACCCTCATCCAAAGGTACACCTGCATATTCTGCGCTACGACCATTGTTCAGCTTACGATTCTCTCTTACCAACACCCATCTCAATATTGCGGCTAGGAAGCCTACGAATAGCATGAAGCCAGCACAAATGCTCATGCCCTTGACATAGTAAGGGCCATCTTCATCGGGAAAGATGCTCGTACCAACGAGCGGACCCATTTGACCGATGATGTTGAGAAGAGCCATACCAGTACCTTTCTTGCTATCACTTTCCTGGTTGTTAAGTGTCCATGTGATGATAATCGTGATAGCGCTGAAGAAGCCCGCAGCGGCGGGGTAAAGCGCTATATAGCGGACCATAGTCTTATCGGACTGCAGGTATCCGGATATTGCAATGGTACCGTAACCGAGTGTGGCGAGGAGGGAGTGGAGCATGATGAACGTCGAGCGTGACTGCATGCGATCGGAGTAGTACGCAGTTGTAAGCACAACAACGAATGCGAAGAGGTAAGGTGGAGCTGAAAGTCCTTGCGCTGTGATGGACTCCCAGCCCATATCTCGTATGACCGTCGGCAAGAACACAGGCATAGCTGAACGTGAGTATACAATGTCAATGTACGTTTTACATGCGTTTAGTACAGGGACACTTACAGCTGAAAGCAACATTGCAAGAAAAGAACATAAGCGCTGTCAGGTAAGACTTCGGGTCCTTTAAAGTTTGGAGCACTTCGTGGAAGTTGACACGTTCTCTTCGCCCACTCTGATACTTCTCCTCATCTTGATCTTCACTTTCCTTTTCTGATCTCAGCCTCATCACTGCAATCTCGCGCTGTCGTGGGCTTAACCACTTCGCCGATCCTGGGCCATCTGGTACGAAATCCCATGCCCAAACCGCTATCAAGACAGACGGAAAGCCTTCAAGCAGAAAGAGCAGCCTCCAAGGACTGAGTGGGCCGTGCTCACCGACCTTAGTAATAAGGTAAGCTAGTGCTCCAGCAAATGATGCTGAGAGAGGGCTAGCACTGATGAAGAGTCCAGTTCGAAAAGCCAGTTCAGACCGGCGGAAGAAAAAGGACAAGTAGAAGGGTACGCCAGGCCCAAAGGCCGCTTCGCTGATGCCGAGGAGGGCTCGCAGAACGAGGAGGAAGCTGAAGGACGTTGCGACTGCCTGAAGCGACGCAACTATGCCCCAAGACAGAATACATAGGGATATGTAGATGTGCGGCGGGACGATGCGGTACCTAACAGCATCAGATGCGCTAAATTCTCTATTTGCAAAGACTTACATGAGCGTCATCCACTCAAATAGGATGTATGTAATATAGAACGCCCACAGCAACCACTCATATTGGGTAGAGCTGAGCTTCAAATCATCCGCAAGACCGGCTATACGCGCATTGCCAATGTCTATTAATTCCATCAGCGTCCATCACCATACCTACCAGATCTGCTTTGCGCACATCTGACGTACATATCACCCCTCTGAGCCTTCCAGGTGTAGAAAGTACTCACTCGACCGATCCAAGAAGCTTAACATGTACAGCAAGGCCATAAACGCGACTAGCCTGCGATCAAGCTTTTTGAGCACTCTTCGATCCTCATCTGGAGTATACAGCTCGTAGCTCTGGACAGAATCTAAGGAGGCGCGTCGTATACTGGGCAGGAAACCCTCGTCTTCTTCTCCCAGCTCCTCTTTGTGTGCGGGTTCATCGTGGGGAGTAATTGTTCGAAGTTCGAAAGAGTTCGGTTCGTGTATCATGGACAGTTGGTCATCAGAGGATTGTGAAGAGCGAGGCGAGGGTGTGAACTTGGGCGAGCTCTCATCGGTGCTGTTGGATGCTGGCTCGTGCTGTCTGCGGCGGGAGGAGAAAGGCATGCTTAGATTGGATTGCCAGGAATGAGCCGCACCAAATAATGAGAGATCATGTCGAGAATGAAAGGGGCGCCGAGGAAGAGCACGAACGCATTACTACTGACGAGTCGCGTAGACTCGAGTATGTCTAAGCTGTCTCGCTCGTGAGATGACGCGTAGAAGCCCGTGCGCTGATGTACCCCACAATCGGTATCTGCTCAGCCCTTGTGTACAGATTGGGTGATACCATACCAAACCCAACGTCCACTCTGAAGACAACCCATTGTATTTCCACAGACGTAAGCATCAGAGGGTAATCGATAACCCAGTTCGTACTGTGGGCCGTCTCATTGATCCTGGAATACAGGTCGGAGATCCCCTGGGCGCCGGGTTATTACGGGTGATTCATGTTGTGCAGAACCATAGTCCCGTTCGGCCGATGTTCTTCACCTTGTAGTATTCCAGAATGGGTGTTTCTGCTTGACTGGTTCTTTCGATCTTCATGCTCAGTATACGCAGCGGCCATCTCAGGGGTAGGCCCCCATGACAACACTTTTTGTTCACACCTCCGGGAATGTTCGCCTTGGAAAAACTGTTCCACTTATACACCTCCCTAACGATCTCGATATATGAATCTCGTTTGTCGAAGTCCGAGTATCAAGGCAGAATATTCCGTGGTCTCGGCGTCAGTAGTATGCTTCAGAAGTCCTCGGAAAAGATAGTCTGTATTGTGCTTGACGCTGGCTTTGTCGTACGACAAACATGTATCTACTATAATGTCCCGACTGCAGTGTTTCGCCTCATCCCAAGTACGGAAGCTCTGAATCAGAAGCTTGTAGGTTGCCGCCTCGTCTTTGTCGAGGACAAGCTCGTGGACGAATGCAACTCGATCTTTGTTGGTTGTCATAGGCTTATCTTCGTTGAAGCTTTGTACAACATGGCCGTAGGCTTCTCTAGAGGCAAAGTTAAGATCTTTATCTTTAAAGGAGGGGAAGTCCAAGCTCGGATAGGGTTTACTGGCAACACATCACCGATGTCGTTTGAGAGCGGTGCAAGGATCATCCACCTCTACCTGCAAAAATCAGCACTTATCGCAGGAGAACGGCAAGCCTGAGTCCAATTATGGCTGCTGTTGGTGATCATACATGGGTCACCGAAGGGGAATAAATAAGGCTAGGTGAATATAGTGGTCGCGAAACAATCGCATTCGTACGTATCTCGGTCTTCTCCCATCGTCATGTAAGACTCTAATTGGGCAGCTTCCAGTCCTTGTAACTCCATTTCTCGGACAGATGATACTTCTTCTGCTTTCCGTAGGCGACTGGTCTCCTGGCTTCAACCTTGCCCTGAAGCAGGAAAGTCCTGAAGCGATCCTTGAGCAGGTTGCCCTCCGGTTTGAGAAGACGCAGGGAGTCGCGAAGCTCGTCTGGCAGAACAACTTCGAGTGGGGCTTCTGGTAGACTGGAGCAGATCAGTAGATGGTCAATCTATGGGGCATCAACGGATACTTACGGTGTCTTGCCAAATTGCTTCTTCCTCAGCTCCACTTCTTCGCCGTCATCCTCCTCCGCCAGTTCGGCATTCTTCTTTTCAAGAGCTTGTCGGACAGCTTCTCTTGCCTTTTCCTTTTCTTCTACGCTCTTGGCTAGCCTCTTGATCTCCTGCACTTGTTGCTCCTTAGCCTTCATCTTTGCTTCGTGGACCGCCTTTCGTTGAGCCTCCTTTCTCCTCTTGATCTTGTTCCGTTGTGACAAAGATTTCCTTTCTGGTCTCTTCTTCTTTCCCTCCTTGTCTTCTTTATCGCTGAAACCTTCCCACTCACTTTCCCAGACGCTCTCCTCACCAGAGTCGGATTCCGTCTCAGCGGCTGCTCGCTCCATCAGCTCAGCCTCTTCACGAGCCTCCTGCAGGCGCTTCTTCTCGGCCTCGACAGCCTTGTCGGATTCGCGCATAAGTTCATTCTGCCAGTCTTCCAACAGAGGGTTGTACGACTTCCCACCGGTGGGTTTGCGGACTGAGGGGATGGCTTTGCCGGTCTTTGCCTGCGAGATGGGTGCGTGCTTAAGGGTCTTGGGCTCGACCTTTGGCTTCTTCTTCTCCAGGTACGTGAACCGAGGATCTTCCTTGACCTCTTCTACGGCCCAAGGGTCGTAGGCAGCGTCGCCGCCTTGCACCACGTCCTTCTTGACCTGCTCGCCTCCGTATGCAATTGCCCTCAGCCTGTCGTATTCCTTGCCTGATACCTTTGCCTTCTTTCTCTTGCCATCGTCGGCAATTTCCGATAGTCGCTTCCTTGTGGATACGGCGGGAACGGCAGAGCGCTTGGCGAGGATCTCGTCGACTTTGAGAGGCTTGTGTCGTTTCGCAACCTCCTTTTGAATTTCGGCAGATCCAACGATATCGACGGCGAAGAGCTCATCGGCCGTCTTTTCAGAGATGACACCACTGTAGAATTGTTAGTATAGGTTGCTGTATGTGTAGTGAGACTGGAACATGCCCTTGGATGATCTGGTCGCGCACATCCTCTAGGCCAGACTGAATCTGCGTGACATCGACGTTCTTGCGCCAAGCCTTCTTGCCTTTGCGACTCGGCTGCTTGTACTGCGCGGGTGCTGCTTCGGTATCCGCCATTGTATCTTACGCTCGCAGTGTTGGAAGTTGTGGGGTTGTTGGCTGTCGCAAAAAGTTCGACCCAAAATTCCGACCAACAAAGCGCCGCACGGGCTAGATCCACCCCAGACCCCTGTAGCCTCTCGGTAGTCGGTGTTGGCCGCCCAGGGTACAAGGCCTCCAGATTCGACCGACACTCCTATTCAAACATCACACCCCACCAAGACATACGGTCAGAAGATTGCTTCTGGCACTCTGGGATAGCACCTCTCCAAGTTTTTTGCTTTTTTATAGAACCTTCAGCCCTACTCCACAATGGCGCAGTCGGGGTACTCAAACCCGCTCAAGAAGTTCAAGTGAGCTGTCCTCCGCGGCGGAGACCAACTTCGTATACTAACCGGCTGCAGGCTCGTATTCCTGGGCGAACAAAGTGGTATGCATACTGTCGCGAACATGGCACTCTGGAACATGTTTGCTAACATAACCTCACAGTGGGAAAGACGTCTCTCATCACCCGCTTCATGTACGACTCGTTCGACAACACCTACCAAGCGACAATCGGCATCGACTTTCTGAGCAAGGTACGCTCTTTGTGAAACCACTGCAGTGACCGCGTTCCTGAGCAATAACTGACTGTTGTCCGCAGACCATGTACCTGGAGGATCGAACCGTCCGCCTGCAGCTCTGGGACACCGCCGGCCAAGAGCGATTCCGCTCGCTGATCCCCTCGTACATCCGCGATTCTAGTGTGGCCGTGGTGGTATACGACATCACGAACAAGAAGACATTCGAGAATACAAGGAAGTGGGTCGACGATGTTAGAGGCGAGCGCGGCAACGACGTTATCATCGTGCTGGTCGGCAACAAGACCGACTTGAACGATAAGCGCGAGGTCACTACGGCCCAGGGTGAAGAGGAAGCCAAGAAGAACAACTTGATGTTTATCGAGACGAGCGCCAAAGTCGGACACAATGTAAAGGCACTGTTTAAGAGAATCGCGCAAGCGTTACCGGGTATGGAGGGCGAAGGTCAACAAGGGCAGAGTCAGAGTAGGTTCAGTTGTACACATTGCGGTGAAGAGCATGCTAACTCAGGGTCCAGTGATCGACGTGAACATCAACCCCTCGCAGCCACCAGCAGACTCGTCGTGCGCGTGTTAGATAAGACATGGCTGTCCGGCAGTCAATTCGGTTCAATCGCTCGAGGGCGTACTGTAATTATTTGGGATGATTTGCAAGTCTGAGGAAGTCATTGTCAGCAAGGCGTTCAGGCAATCAGGCATGGGCTGCATGCATCTTAACGTCGAACACGTAATCTGTAGTATAGCAGTGCGTACCCAAGCGTACGACTGCATGACGTCAATGGAGAGATGCCGAGTGCTGTTTGGATTGTATGCATTGGAAGCCCACATCTATGCCAACGCCCGCCCCAGCCAGATGGATCACGCTCAACCGGAACGCCGGCCGTGGAATCGACCGACCGCGCTGATGCTGATACATGTACAAGAATATTACAGGGGGTCGTCATCAGATGGAGTGGGGTCCAAAAATGCGTGCTGAATTCATCGAAGTGCTATCGTCTTTTTACTCGAGGTCGCCTGCCGAGCCAGCCTCAGACGGTGTCTTGCTGCCGCCGACGGGGATTGACGTGTCTACTGCGATCATCTCGGCGAGGATGTCGAGGACGGGCTGCCAGGTGTTAGCGAATCATCAGACCAGGCCAGCAAGCAATGGCTTCTTACCTTGGGCACCGTCTTGTCGTAGATGTTGATCAATTCCCGCGGGTTGGGGTAGACCTTCAATGCGCGGTAGAAGCATAGCGCCGCCTCCACGTTATCCGCACCTGCCAGAGAATTAGCACCACGTCCCACGAGCGGGATCAAAGTCAAGCCATACCCTTCTGTACCATGCCTTCTCCCTGCGCAACCTCCTGCATAAAGTACGCCTCCACCTCCTCTGGGTCCTTGGGGAAGCCCTCCTCGTTTGCCCGCTCTACCGCCTCCCGGATCGCCTTCTTCTGCTCAGCGCCCTGTGCCTCGGCCTCCTCCTTGGCCGCCCGCTCTGTTCTCTTCGACTCCTTCTTGAGCTGCTTGCGGAAGCCGGGGTCGTTTCGTCGCTTGTAGTCGAAGTAGGCGGCATATGCGAGAAGACCTGTTACGATGGTGCCGGCGCTAATGGCCGCAATGGTCGACGGTTTTAATGACGAGTTGGACATGATGGCGGTGCAAGTTGCGGGTGTGGAAAGCGCAATTAGGCGAGCAAGCAACAGGTATATCCCTTGGAAATGGCCGAAGGAGATGGCGGTGATGTGGTGTGGTGTTTAACTTTTTCGACAAGTTCAGGGAAGGCACGATTCAACAAAGTGGGCCCGAGCTCACACTCGAGACCGCGGCTCCACGCATCTATGGGCGATGCGTCCCGCTACCTGTCACCGACCATCAGCAACCACTGCCCCTCGCGCCTTCACCACCGTAGTCCGTCAATCTTGCAGGCAAGATGTCGGAAAAGCAAAAGGGCATCTCCCTCCGCAAGAAGCGGGGGGACAAGAGCAAGAAGAACGCGCCGCCGCCCACCATCAGCGCGCCGCGACAGATTAGTGCGCCCATGCCAGCCGGCGTCGCTGCTGCTTCACTCCCCAGCTCCGGACGTCCTTCGAACGAATCCAGCCGCTCGAGGACCAGGCAAGATGCTCCCCAGTCACGCCCGCAGCGACCCGACAAGACGGCCGATCTGGTCAAGAGGAGGTATTCCCAGAAGATCACGACGCTGCCTGGCGACTTTGGGAATGGAGAACCCATGCCGCAGATGCCAAAGATGCCCGCCCAGTACAGAGAGAAGAGCCAGACGAGGGAGGGACGGCCGCCTGGAAGCTCCAATGGACGGGTGTTGCAGGTTGACCCACGAGCATTGAGGGACCCCAACCTGGAAGTAGAGCGATGTGAGACTACTGCGTGTCGCCGCCTCAGTGCCTGAATACTGACTTCGCATAGATGTATCGACCATCCTTGCAGACGCCTCCGAGGCCGACATCAACCGCTACCAAGATGAACTGCGCAAGACGAAACACCGTACATCCCTTGACCTACAGCATAACGTATACCAGAACCGCACACAATTCATCAAGATCAGTAAGGAGGCAGAGAAGCTCAAAGGCGAGATGCGAACACTTCGTCAGTTGATGTCAGACCTGACCACTACACTGGAACAGACGGCTTCAGCTACAGGCGCGAACGACGCTGCAAGCTCCCGAAGGGCCAACCGAAGCTCCATCGGAGACCTCAACCAACTTCGCGCTGGTCAGCTGCAGCAGCTCTACAGAGACGTCGAGGGTTCGCAAAAGTATCTACCGCCTATACCTGGGCGATATATTGTGTGGAAGTCCACAAGATGGTTTGAACTCGACTCTGCGACCCTCAAGGCGAGACGAAGAGTGCGGCTACTGCTACTGAATGACCATCTCCTTATCGCAACGGAGAAGAAAGCGCGAAATGACGTCCCTGGTCAACGTGATGGCAACAGAGCAAATATGGAATTCATGGCCCAACGATGCTTCCCACTGCAAGATACTCAGGTGATTAGGACACCCGAAGAACGTATCATCATTCGCGCTGGCTCTGAGTCCTTCACGTACGACACCAAGAAAGAGGATAGCGGCGACAAGTCCGCTTTTGTTGCTACCTTTCGTAAAACCAAAGATGACTTGCGCAAGAGCCAAGAAGCGGATGTGCAAGAGAAAGATCGAACGCAAGACTCTTATAGCCATCTCCTTTCACGCGACCCTGCTTTCATGAACAGAACGGAGTTGTTGGATAACCTTTCTGACGGCATCAACAACGAACAAGTTAGTACGTTTATCGATATGGATGGTCAGCAGCGCAACATTCGGTGGGTGGAAAGTCAACTAGACGACTTAGACATTGAGATCGCGCTTCAACACTTTCAAGAAGCAGTCCTGAAAGTCGATCGCCTGAAAGCGCTTGCGAAGAACATCAAAAGCAACGAGATGGCCAAGACAATCGTCACATATAAAGTCAACGAACGTGCTGCTAAGCTGGCGAATGTTTTGGTCAAGCATATGGTAGAGCATAACAACTGGTTCACGTCTGTCAGGCAACACGTCAGCTGGGTTGTCCAACTAGGTTTCGAAGATCGTGCACGAGAAGCCTATCTGGAAGCTCGTGGTAATCTCATCAAGACTCGCACGCGGTATGTCCTCAGCTTCGTCATTTGTGCTCACCATTCACTGACTCTTTCAGGCAATGTATATTCGAAGGCAACCTTCCCGACTACATCTTCCAAACTTCCTACATCTATTTCACCATTATCAAAAACACTGTCGACATGTTTCAAAAATGCTTCCCACAACAGCTCATGTCCGCTTGCGTCAAATGGGCGAAAGAGCATATTGACCAATTCAACATATTATTGAAGAGGCAACTCAGTAGTGTTGATGAAGGCGGCAATGTGTGGAACGAATGCTTGAGGCTGGCACATGAACATGCAGAAATGCTGAGAGAGGTTGGATTGGACTTCACGGAATTGGTCGGAAACGGAATCGGTGGACAAGATGATGAAGAAGTACATGCTCCTGTAGGTTTGGGAGTGTCTGCATAAGCCTTCGAGCGTGCAGTTCACGACCAAGTAGTACGTCCGTGCATATATAATGCCAACTATTGATCTGTGACACAGTCTATCGTTCATATGATACTCGGGCCCTGCGTCCTGGCAGCTGATCTGGTTTCTTGCCAAATATGACCGCTTCTGCCTTATCTGTAACTGTCTCTCACTCTCACCCAGACTCCTCTAGACTCTTCTTCACTATCAATCGAGTCGATCCTACGGAAAAGAGTGCTTATCGTGGTGATGTAGTGCTTGCTGTTGTTGCCTTGTGGAAAACCACCTTCACCAAGGAAACACGGATGTATAGCTGACTTGTTTGTCTTTTGCCTCTCTCACTCTTCCGTCCAACAACAAAGCTTGGGACTGTGCCAACGATACCTTGACTTTCGCCACTAGCATCAGTTAGAAAGCATCTGCGTCCAGAGACTATTCACAAACGACAGTCGAAATGCTGTCTGAAGTTGAAAACATCAACTACCTATACTTGGTATTGACCAATGACGGCAACCCAACTGTGAGTCTTACCAAACCCACCCCAAGTGCGCTTGAGCTGTGGAGGTGTTTCTCACTGTCTAGACGTTCTTTTCATGATTCTCATCACACGCACATGTCTATACTAACTTACCATAGATTGATTGGGACGCTGTCTCCAGTGCGCTTGACCTCGAGAAAGGCGCGGTCACAAAGCGATGGTCGCGCCTTAAGCAGGCTATGGAGAAGAACGACGTCCCCGGGGGTACCACATATCAGTTTCTATGGCTTTGTGTCAAGCACAATACGCGCGCTCAAGTGAGTACCGATTTATTCTCACTTGGGATATTTCGCAATGACAGGTTCACTAATAATGTCGTAGCCACCAAACTGGAACGACATCGCCGCCAAAGCCAACACTACTGCTGGAGCGGCATCAAAGCGCTACTCCCGGATGAAGAAAGCGTTTGAAGAGAACGGTACCGCGCCTTGTCCTTCATCGCTCGCCAAGGACACTCCCAGATCTACCGTTAAGAAGTCTCGCAAGACTGCCACTTCGTCCGGCGATGATGTTGATGTCACCCAGACCACGCCGACTCCTAAGCGTAAGCGTGCATCTCAGAAGAAGAAGATCGCCTCCACCAAGGACGAAGCCAAGTATAGTTCTGATCCGGAGAATGAGGACGACCAAGAAGAACTCCTAGAGTCCAAGCCCAAACGCGCCAAGGTCGGGAAGACTAACAGCATCGTCACCCCTAAGCCTAAGCCCAAGAGCATCATCAAGGAAGAGGAGACTAGCAAGGCCAGTGTGACCTCTTTCTCCGACGCTCAGGAAAGTTCCACCCCTCAGGATGAGGCTGGAGAAGTCGACCACGATACTTACTCCATTCATGAACGTAAGTTACCCTACTCCTTGGCACCTCAGCGTCTTTACCAACGTGCTGAAAACCCATTAGCGGAGCCAGCTGACTCCATTGACCCCAGCGATGACTTCGTCTGAGCTCCTCACTCCCGTTAAGACGGACTGTGTCAACGATTGCGCCCAATGTACTTGTTACGCTAGGGAAATCGCTAATGTGCTTATGAGCAGGAAATCTGGAATGGCTCAGTCACAGCGGACAGAGCTTGAGAAGATGGTCGGTATCATGAGTTGAAGCTTTCTCATCTTTGGTAAGACTTGATGGGATTTGTTGGACTGCATCTTACAGAGTTCAGCATCAGTTTCAGTAGATTGCACAGCGATGGCGTCAGTTGTGTTTGACCAGAAAACTTTAGCTTCCGGTTCAAACAAGGAGAAGAGGGACCTAGGTCTCTGTAGGCGCTGAGATAGTGTCTTCCTTCATACGTCTGATGAGATTCATTTACAACTCTTCCCTACTTACGGTGTCAACACCAGTTTTCCAGTTGTCTTCCTTCCCTCGATGTCCTTCGTTGCTCTCACAATCTCGCTCAAGGGGTACACATCATGAATCTTTACATTCAGCCCGTCTTTCTCGATGAACTTCCACAGCTCATTTGCGGCTGCCTGAAGCTCTTCGCGAGTGGCAATGTAGTTGAACAACGTAGGCCGAATAAGCTTGACATTCTTTGCCGATAAGCGTCTGTATGATGTGTAAGTCGTTTCCCAGATGAAAAAAGTGGTGGAAGAACTTACGCAAGCGCAAAACCCTCTACTGGTCCCGATGCGTTTCCAAATGAACACATAGTACCCTTTCTCCTCACCACAGCCAGTGAGCTATCGAAAGTGGACTTCCCGACCGAGTCGAAGACTGCATGCACGCCCTCGCCTCCAGTAACTTCTAGCACCTTCTTGACAAAGACGTCTCGATCTTCCTCATGGTATTCTAGTAGCACCTCTGCGCCATTTTGCTTGGCCAGATTCCTCTTCTCTTCTGTGCTGGCCGTAGCAATGACCCTTGCGCCGACCGCCTTCAACAGCTGACACAGCCATAAGCCAACGCCACCAGCGGCAGCGGTGACAAGGATCCAGTCGCCTTTCTTGACTTCGTACGCGTCGCGGATCAAGGTTACAGCGGTTAGCGCCTGGAGAAGCGAAGCAGCAGCAGTCTTTGTGGAGATGGAATCAGGCAGCGGTATAGTGTAGTTCGCTGGTGCAGCGGTATACTCAGCATACGCTAATTGTGCCATGTAGGCTACCTTCACTCCAGGCTTGAGATCGGAGGGCACATTGGGTCCAACGGAAGCAATTGTTCCAGCGCCTTCTCGGCCAAGAATGTAGGGGAATTGCGGAGGCTTGTAAACGCCCGAGCGGAAGTAGCTGTTAATTTCCGTCAGCAGTTTCTCCTCAGTTACATGGTCACGTAGTACTCACGTGTCGATGTAGTTGATGCCAATGAACTCGTTCTTCACAAGCACTTCGCCCTCCTTCGGCTCAGGAACCGGTACGTCAGTTTTGTACTGCAGAACTTCCGTGCCACCAGTCTTCTCGATGAGGACGGCTTTCATAGTCTTTGGGAGAGACGACATGGCTCTGATGTTGTGTGCTCTTGGAGCGATATGCGAATTGATGGCTGAGAGTCGTGTTGCTGCAGGTGTCGATCTTGAAAGAAGTTGTGCGGAACGAAAAGCCAAAGTCATGGATCACGAGAGACAAGTAAAGGGTCTGCTCAATTCAAGTAGGCTATCTGGAGAGGGCATGCTCGTTGATGATAAATACCCGCGGGCACGGCATTATTTCCGAGTGATCAGCGAATGACCGCCCCGCTCCCCGCACACGTCATTATCGTCTCCATTCGCGACTTCTTTCGATCAAATACGGCAGTCACAATCACTCTCCTATGGCATGATTTCAGTTGTTGCTGCACTGACCGTCGCCAAGATGTACTTTCTAGGGCGCGCCATCATTATGCTGTGTTGGTAGGGCGTGTTACCCGAGCGCTGCAGGTAAACCATGTGGGTATTGCCCGCCGTTTATCGGAATGAATGGTAAGCGGCGGATACGAAACCGATAGGAGGCTTTGTAGATGGTTCTGGAAGCCTTTTTGATCAGTTTAACATCAAGCTCGCAAGGATGTAAGCCGCACGTCTTTGGCCTCTCTTCTTGCATAGCTCTATTGATCACTAACATAGTCGGCGTTCGTTATCACGATTCTACAATTATAAATTGCTCCCTTCCCTTACCCTGTATTCAGCGTACCGTTATATCGGCTTCGAGATCTATATTTTCTTTCCGTATGTCGAGTCGTTTTTCCACATTGATCGTCCGCAGGGTTCTCGAGAAGCCCGCCCTTTCACTTCTGATTTTCACCACCGTCTCCACATAGGATATAGGAGGACAAGTACAAGGAGTGGGAAGAAGACTGGCCAAAGAGATACCACCAGGAGCAATTTGGCATGAAGAATCCGCAGGTTCTTCGGAGCGGGTTGCTATCGTTCAGAGCAGACCTGGTAGCTCTCCTCAACAAGCAGACAGTTCAGACAGAAGCTCTAGAGACTCTACGAAGCAAGTATGATTTTCTCAAAGAAAAATAAGAGATACTGCAAACTAGGCATGCTGCTTCCGAGGCCTCATACGGAGTCACTAAACGAGAGAACAATAGTCTAAGGTATAACTAAACTGCTATGCGCAGACTCGCCATAAAATCTGATACCGGCTTTACAAAGTTAGATGTGCGAGTCAGACTCAAAGATGAATGGACACAGACTCGTAGCAGCAAGTTGAAGGCGGGGAGTTCAGACCTTTAGGAATACACTGCAGACCAGGCGACCTTAGCAAACCTAGCAGCGTCTGAGCGGATGGAGTCGCAACATGCTTGGGAAACTGCGCGGCACCAGTGACCTGGAATTGGACCTAGGGACGTAGAACGTGCCGATCAACTTTGCCTTTGAGAAGACATCACTTCCACGTGCAAGGTAGTACGAGTGTTCTCCGACGAGGAGTGTGCGAAAGGTTCAGTGATCTGGAGTCGTGAGAGACCAAGGGCGCCCTCGCTTATTTCGCCCAAACGGTCGCGCACGCGTTCCCACGCCGGCATGAACCAAGTTCGCAACTGCCCCTACGTCATCGCTCACATCGCAATCAAGTGCAAACCACAAATACGTAGGCAGAATGTCCACCTCCACTCACATGACGCGAATAGACATACTTTACTACTCCCAAGACCTAAGAGCATCAATTATCTCCACTTAGGGAACGCCTTCAGCATGGGCGCACTGTTCTCCTCCATTCTTGCGCCTATCGCTCTGCCGCTGGGCTCATTTTTAGCCATTCCTATGCTGTCTTCGTGGTCGACAGGCCTGAACCTCATCTTCCTTTCAGTCGCATGGACGACAATCGCGGCGTCATATTCTCCTCTTCAACTTGAGCTGGTTGCACCACTAGTTCTACGGCTATCTCTCTATATCATCCCTAGCCTGATCTTCTTGCTATTCGATATCGGAGTGCCCAGTCTAGCAGTTGAGTTCAAGTCGCAAGGACAATGGGGCATTCCAAGCAACCAGAAGGGAGGCGCAAGAGCGATGAGGAGGGTTATAGCATGGAGTTGTGCGAACGTGCTGCTTGCTGTTGCACTACAGGCGGCCATGGAGTTCTTGATTACCGATGTACTACGAATGAGGAGTCTACTGCTTATCAAAGGTAGCAAGTGGGGGTTGAATCACCTGCCCAACCCGTGGACGATGGTCAAGCATGGCATTATCGGGCTTTTATCACGCAACGTAAGATACCATGATCGCGCTCATCAAGTACACTGTGCTAACAAACACGACCTAGATCCTGCAATACTATGTCCACACACACGTGCTTCACTCGCCGACTGGCGGTGCACTCTCGAACTTGCATCAGAGCTGGCACCATAGCATCAAGATTCCATACTCTTTTGCTGCAAACTACGACCACCCCATTTGCCACCTCTTGCACCGCTTCCTACCCCTTTACCTTCCGGCAATTGCTTTACGCATGCATATCCTCACCTATTTGATTCTGGTCGCTGTTTTCAGCTTAGAGGAGACATTTGTGTACTCGGGATATAATGTTCTACCTTCGACCATCATGTTGCGAGGTATGGCGCGACGTGCCGATGCGCACATGATGAGCGAGGGAGAGGGTAATTATGGATGTCTGGGTGTCTTGGACTGGTGTCACGGCACGACACTGGGCAAGGATGTTGTTGAGGACCTCAAGGCAGAGATGGAGAAGCATAACGTGGAGGGCAAGGCGGGGAAGGCTATAGACGGCGCGGGGGACGCAGCGAACGGGCTAGCGGGCAAGTTTGGCAGGGCTAGAAAAGGGAGAGGAAAGAAGTAAGTAGGTCAATCGGTGGGCAATAAGTTGTGTAACGAGGCATGTTCCCGAATCGCGTTGGCGCATTTAGTTTGGTGGTGAGGAATACCCTTGGTCAGCTGTCGCTTCGATACCCTCACGTCATGTCGCTTGGAGTTTGCGTGGCAGTCGGCGCAGTATCGGTCGAACAATGTAACGTCTGTATCTCTATTTCATGCATCAGTACTCTCGATTACCGCCCAGTATATACCGCGCCAATTGAACGCCCAACTATGACATCACGCAAGCGGAGACCAAATGTTCACTTTTGGACCGTCTCGGATTCGCTTGCTTGTTATAAAGTCTTATGGTAAATGCCTTGTCGGTATCCTCCATGAAAAAAAATTGGCTGCCGTGCCGCTGCGGTTCTTGTTCCTCGCTAGTACGGCTGCAGTATGCCGAAGTCATCTTTCATCCCATGCACTGAACGCCGAATGCCCGATCGTTATCCGTCGCTTAGAAGACCATCTGGTGAGGCCTGTCTGAGCTACGGAGGCTGAAGCTGGCACCGAGGTAGTCGGCGAGGTGAGCCTCCTTCTTGATGGTGGCCAGAAGAGCCTTGTCGACGGCCTTCTGGTCCTCGACGCGGTCCTTGGAGGTCTCCTTCTTCTGTCACATGTGTCAGTACTGTCGCGTTCCTCCTCGATTGTGAATACGTACCTCGGGCTTCTCGCCCTGCTTGAAGAACGCATCCTCACCAGGCTTGTGGGCGGCCTTGTCCTTGGTGAAGTAACCGTCCTGGCTAGCCTTCTCGATAACCTTCTCGTCTACGCCCTTCAGGTCGACCTTGGTGGAGGTGGCAATGACATATCGGGCGTTTACTCGTCGAAGGGGAACACCGTTGACTTTGAAGGGACCGGTAACAAGGAGGACACCCTGGGAGAGGTGCTTGAGGACAACGACGCGCTTGCCGCGGAAGCGACCAGCAAGGAGGATGACGACGGTACCGGGCTGGAGGGACTCGCGAACCTTCGCAGGGCGGACAGACTTGCGGGCCTTGAGTCGCAGTTAGCGGAGCTCCCAATTGACGTCCTGGTTCTCATCCTAGCACACCCAGACACACCCGCGGCATGCTGTCGCAGTAAATACGCCCAACACCCCTGCAGTCCTTCTCTTGCATGCAAACCGTCTTCTATCGCGAACGTACCTTCTTGGGGACAGCAACGTCCTCAGCAGGGTAGTACTTGCTGGCCTTCTGCGAGTGGTGCGGTATCGACCTCTCCCCCTTGGAGAACTTCTGGGTGGTGGGCTTCGTGTCCTCTTGTTTGGCCGCCATTTCGTTTCGCTGTGGTCGTTAGTGCTGGTCGGTGGTGTTGGCGATGGGATCGTATTTTCGTGAATTCGAATGTGTGCCAAGCTGTCCAATCGATACGCGCGACCGGGCCGCCAGTTATTCCGTCGGTTACGTAACCCGCATGGAGCTTGCAGCTTGCGGCCATGCTTGCGGGACGGCGACTGAACATCATTGCCCCAACTCCAAACACACGCTGCAAACATGTCTTTTCAACCGCTCATCACCTTCAAGGCCGGCCAGTGCGAGCTGACGGTGAGCGACACCGCTTCTCTAGTACCGGGGCGTACACTAACAATACGTGCAGCGCGGCGAAGGCAACTCACAGACAGTCAAGCCAGCCCATACACCTGGCTATGTCTATCTGTACCAAGGCGAAGATGGTTTGTACGCAACCACAAGACCACGTTCATCAGCTCACATGTCCAGAATTTGTGCACTTCTGCTGGCGGCCACGCGATTGCTCACTCGATCAGTCCGAGCTCGACCTCATCATGATTCCCGGTGACGGCTCCTTCCAACCCTACACCGGCAAAGACGCCGTCGATGACTCGGAGAACATCAAGTCACCCACCGACGGCCGCATCTTCGTCCTCAAGTTTAGCTCGAGCTCACAACGCTATCTCTTCTGGTTACAATCAAAATCGCAGCACCCACGGGGCGCGAGCTGGTTCAGCGAGCGTGATCTCAAGATCGGACAAGTGATTGATCTTCTGCTGACAGGCGAGGAGATTGATGTGCACGCTGAACTCGCAGGCATCTCAAACTCATCTGGCAACGACGAGGACGAGACAATGGAAGATGTAGAGCCGTCTAGCCGAAACCGCCACGGTAGCACCGGAGGCGCAGGAGCTGGCGCCACGGGAGGTGATATCCGAGATGAAGGCGAAGAGTCCCGAGAAGGAGGCGCCGATGGTGGTCGAGCGTAGGTTCCGTCTATTTGTATCGCATTCGGCGTCGTGGCGCGGTCTACCTTTCCGGAAAGAATCGAGCTGCTGTGCAAGACTTTAACCGCTCTATACAAAACTCTAAAGATATCCTGTTACGATACGGCGTTTTGGGAGAAGCTTAAGACCATCCAAGCATATGGCGATTGGCACTGGCTGCTCATGTACAACAATAGAAAATAAGCATCATGCTCCGTCTTCCACTGGCCACGCCGCGACGCTCGTTTCGCGTTTATACTTTGTTTTTGCTTCTAGAACACAGCGCTAACGCGTCGACAGAGCCGGCTCGGGTGACGTCTCCGCCATTGTCCAAGACTTCATGAACTCGCTCAAGGGCGGCAACGCAGGCAGCAGCACCCAACAACAACGAGGATCAGAACCTTTCACTACACTCCTCGACCTCCTCTGGCCTTCACACACCCTCCCGACCGTTCAAAATGCGTCTGACGAACTCATCGACGCCCTGTGTGCACAGCTACCGACCACTCCTTTCCTCCTAGAGGCCGAAGTCGAAGATATCGACGAAATCGATCCAAATTCCGAGACAGCACAAATGGCTATCCAGACACTAAGCCGAGATGAGAAGATTGAGGTCCTACAGAGGGTTCTACGGGCACCGCAGTTGAGGGCGGCTTTGGGTAGTTTGACAGAGGCGCTAAAGACCGGTGCCCTGCCAACTGTGAGCCAGGCACTGAAGATCGACGTTGAGAACGGAGGCTATATGAGAGGTGGTGGAATGCCACTCGGTGGTCCAGATGCGGTCAAGGCATTCTTGGAAGGCGTCAAGAAGACAGTGGAGAAGGAGAAGAAGGGCGGTGATGAAATGGACACGAGCTAGATGACCCGGTGACTATCGAGGCTTAGATACACTTCGGCATTGAATGACGACCGACACACGATTTATGCATACATAGATGACGATCAAGATACGAGTTATGCATGGCAGAGGTAGGGTAATCGAATCACTTCTGCCGGTTATCGGAATTGTCTTATTCTTCTCTAGAGGGTCGCTTCCTATCCTTTTATGGGAATCTATATCAGGGTCTGCCGTCTAGCAAATCGCTACTAGGACTTTACGAGAATCTCGTGTCCCTGTCTTCTGTTTTCATTCTTCTTGTGTCTGATTAGGAGGCCAATCAGGCACTATATCGTTCTCTTACTGCAGTAATTCCGCTCAAGTTCTCGATATCCTGTGTGACTCCTGGATGCTGTTCCCGGTATGCATTCATCCAATACTCCCGTTGTTTCTGCCACTGTGGTTGTGAGTAGCATCGCACACAAGGTACTCTCGAGTGAAGGACAGGCCGGAAAAAGTGGTCTGCGCAAAAGTTTGGCTCGAATGCGCTATGGAAATGTTAGCAACTGAACCTAGGAAAATAGAGCAGTGGTAACAGCGATGGAATTGTACTCACCTAGTATCAGGTTCTGGATCTGCGTGAGGGAGGAAGGTCAAAGGTGAGGATGAGACGGGCTTAATGAGAGTATCGGCATTGGAAAAAGCGGGCGACAGTTGATTGGAAGATGGAGATGTTGGAGATGTGGACGCCGGAGGACCTGCACTCGTGGCTTCTTGTCCTGTAGTGGGCGCTATGAAACGGAACGCTGGCGTGTGACCACTCTGTTGCAGTCCTTGTACTTCGCTGTTCAACACTGTAGCTCTCAGCGGGGAAGCATCCGCTGAGGGTGTCATGGACGATACAGCGGAGTTCGAGCGTGACAAATCGGGTACGGTTTTACAGAGGTCGTTGGGAATTTGACATCCTGTAGCGATGGCATGAGGGCATGGCGTGGTGCACACGATTCTCTTGTGGCCACAAACATAGGCTTGGAGAAGTTTGTGACACATTTTGGGTAAAGGACGAGTTCCTGTAAGGAGGCTTTAGATCTGTGATCGACAGTTGGAATCTGGCAGTAAGTGAGTGCAAAAGTAGCAGTGTAGAGGTCAGTTGTAGCAGAATAAATGAAAGTGACGCAACATAATGTTTCCAAGAACGAGCAAGTGACTCTGTCATTCACAAGCGGCGTAGGAGCGCTGGCTTGGCTGATTCACTTTACCTTTACCCGTTTGCCAACCAACATGTCTGCCTATCAAACGCCCATATAGCACGCGCAGGAAGAAAATATTGGCCCGGCAGATCAGAACTTTTAGTTCTATGCTAAAGGTTGTATCAACGTTGCAAAATCGTGAATGGCCAGTGTAACGACAACCCCTTCCCCATGCCGTGAACACCGCGCCATCAAACTCCATGCCACCAAATGCTCAAACAAAAACGTAAACCTGGTGAAATGCTGAAGCACTAGTAGCTTCGTCCGAACAAGATCCATTGCTTGGCAGGAGTCTGGCAATCAGGGTTGATGCACTTGGTCTTGCCGGGCTCGATACCCTCGGGCTGGTCGAAGGGAATGCACAAACTCTTTGCACCCATGGCAGGAGCCTGCTTGTCTTCGGCAACGCCATCTCCGAGTGCTGTACGCGCACTCTTCGCCTTGACCTCGTCTTCACACTTGTCGCCCTCGCAGTGGGGAACAAGAACGACGTTCTTGCCGTTCAGGGTGGGAACAAAGTCATCCCAGTTGGTAAGTTGGATACGGTGGTCCCGGTAAGCCTTGTCAGCCTTTTCGAACATGTCTTTCTGGATCTGCTCGAGTAGCTTGGGAACCTCTTGCGCAAGGCTGCCGACGTCGATGGTGCCACGTGCAGCGTCCTTGTCATCAATGTCACGGCGAGATGTGGTAACAACACCCTTCTCGGCATCCTTGGGACCGAACTCGATACGTAGAGGAATACCCTTCAACTCCCAGTCGTTGAACTTCCAGCCAGGAGAGTAGCCCTCACGGTAGTCGGTCTCGACGCGAACACCAGCCTCGGTAAGGTCGTCAGATATCTTCTTGACCTTGCTGTAGAGATCTTCCTTAGCCTCCGCAGACATCCTGACTTGGTTAGCATAATGGCATTCATGAGTAATCCACGACAAACGTACTTGGCGGTGACTCCCACGGGGATGACAACAACTTGGATCTCAGCCACCCTAGGAGGAATGACTAGACCACGGTTGTCTCCGTGAGTCAGAATCATGACACCGATCGAGCGAGTAGTCAGACCCCATGAGTTCTGCCACACATGGACGTGTTCCGACTTGCCGGCTTCCTTCGCAGTGGGGTCCTCGACTGTAATGTTGAACATCTTTGAGAAATGCTGGCCGAGGGCGTGTGATGTTGCGGCTTGAATACCACGTCCAGTAGCGGGAATGAAACCCTCAATGGTTGTGGTGTAGTCGGCTCCAGGGAACTTCTCGTTTACTGTCTTCGTTCCCTTCACGACGGGAACGGCCAGTAGGTCCTGGTAAACATCAGAGTACCAATCCAGGATTTGTAGTACCTCATCGCTCGCCTCCTTCTGGGTAAGATGTGCGGTGTGGCCTTCTTGCCATAGGAACTCACGCGATCGGATAAAGGGCATGGGGTCTGAAGATGGGTTAGATGCAGTCAGGGCAAAGGTCGGTTGGATACTCACGCTTAAACTCCCATCGAACAACGTTGTTCCATTGGTTCAGCTTCAGCGGCAGATCGCGATGCGACTGAATCTTGCGCGCGAAGTATGGGTACATGGCAGTCTCTGAGGTAGGGCGCACAGCGACGGGCTTCTCCAGGTCAGACTTTCCACCCTTGGTCACCCACGCAACCTCGGCGGCAAAACCTTCAACGTGCTCCTTCTCTCGCTCCAAGTTGTCGGCGCTGATGAAGATGGGGAAGTAGGCGTTTCGGACTTTGAGGGTCTTGATCTGGCCGTCGAACCAGGACTTGATGTTCTCCCAGATGGCGTACGAGGAGGGCTCGAGGATGTAGCATCCGGCGACGTCGTAGTATGAGATCATCTGGCCCTTGGTAATGACCTGCTGGTACCAGTCTCCCAGGTCAGTCTCCTTGGCAACATCGATACCAATGAGTGCTGAGCCCTCAATCTGGCGCATAGTTAGTATTGCCTCGGGTTCGAAGAAGACCTTTTGCAGTTCTGACCGACCTTCTTCTTCTGTTGCTGGGGCTTCTTGGCAGCTTTCTGGGGGTTGCCGTCCTTCTTGCTCTTCTTGGTCTCGGAGATGGAAAGATCCTTCATCTGCCCGTCGGCAGCAGTGGCTTCGGCCATGTTGAATTATTCTAGGAAAGCGATGTTAACACGGTTGGAGGTACAGTCGTGTTGGCAGTCAATGTGGAAACGATATGGGAACGGCAACAGGTGTAGATATTGTGCTGGGTGGTTTTGTGTATAGGGCAAGTTGGCGGGGCAGGCGGGGTATCAACACGCGACTTGGAGTTACTTACGCGCAATTGAGTCGGGGAAAGCTGAGAGGGAAGTCTGGGACTAGAGATATAGAGGATGCAAATACAGCGGAGTCACTCAGAGCTAAGACAGAGTCGGCTTGTTGCAGGCTCGTGTGAGTCGACGGCCAAAAGTGGTGGAGGGGGCCGAGTCATCGGCGCAGGGGTCCAAGCTAGCGCGATTGACCGACGGAGCTACGATTCGCCGCGCGGGCGGGCATTGCTGGAGATTTTCTGGACCGCGTAGAGGCAGCAACAACAGAGCAGAACAGCTAGAATCCAACACAATGGCAGGCATCTTCGAGCAGTCCCGCAGCGGAGGAACCCTGTGTAAGCTGGAACCGCCAAAATCAGGGCCGCAGAAAGCTAACACGTGCAGTCCTCGGCGGCCAGAAAATCAGCGGACAGGACATTCGCGACCAGAACGTGCTTGCGACCCAGGCAATCTCGAATGTAGTCAAGTCGTCCTTTGGGCCCTCGGGCCTCGACAAGATGATGGTCGACGACATCGGCGACGTGACCGTGACCAACGACGGCGCCACCATCCTCAGTCTGCTTGATATCGAGCACCCCGCAGGCAAAATCCTCGTCGACCTCGCACAACAACAGGACAAGGAAGTCGGAGATGGCACAACCTCGGTCGTCATAATAGCCGCCGAGCTGTTGCGGAGAGCAAACGAGCTCATGAAGAACAAGATCCACCCCACCACCATCATCACAGGCTACAGGCTGGCCTTGAGGGAGGCGGTCAAGTACATGAACGAGAACATCAGCACCAAGGTCGATGCGCTCGGCCGCGACTCGCTCGTCAACATCGCGAAGACGTCCATGTCCAGCAAGATCATCGGTTCCGACTCCGACTTCTTCGCCAACATGGTCGTAGACGCCATGACTGCCGTCAAGATGACAAACAACAAGGCCGAGGTCAAATACCCTGTAAAGGCTGTCAACATCCTCAAGGCACACGGTCAGAGCGCCACGCAGTCGGTACTGGTCAAGGGCTACGCCCTCAACTGCACAGTCGCCTCGCAAGCCATGAAGACACGCATCACCGACGCCAAGATTGCTTGTTTGGACATCAACCTGCAGAAGGAGCGAATGAAGCTGGGTGTTCACATCACCATCGACGACCCAGAGCAGTTGGAGAAGATCCGAGAGCGCGAGGCTGGCATTGTCACTGAGCGCATTGAGATGATCCTGAAGGCCGGCGCCAACGTCATCATGACCACAAAGGGTATCGACGACCTCTGCTTGAAGCACTTCGTCGAGAAGGGTGCCATGGCTGTGCGAAGGTGCAAGAAGGAGGACCTACGAAGGATAGCAAAGGCCACCGGAGCGACGCTAGTCAGCACGCTTTCCGATCTGAACGGTGACGAGAAGTTCGAAGCGGCAAATCTTGGTCATGCTGAGGAGGTTTCTCAAGAGCGCATCTCCGACGATGAGTGCATTCTGGTCAAGGGCACCAAGGCCTTCTCTTCTGCATCCATCATCCTGAGAGGTGCTAACGACTACGCCTTGGACGAGATGGAGCGATCAGTACACGATTCATTATCAGCAGTAAAGCGAACCCTGGAAAGTGGACGTATTGTCCCTGGTGGAGGTGCTGTTGAGACTGCGTTGCACATCTACCTGGAGGAGTGGGCAACGTCAGTGGTAAGCCATTTCAATCCCTACATGTCTCACGGTTTCACTAACAATTGGTTCAGGGCTCTCGGGAACAGCTAGCGATAGCTGCCTTTGCCCAGTCTCTCCTTGCCATCCCCAAGACACTCGCTATCAATGCCGCCAAGGATGCTACTGAGCTTGTCGCTAACCTCCGATCACGGCACGCTCTTTCACAGCGAACAGTGAACCCTTCAGACCCTTCGTCGCAAGACGCAAAGCAGCTAGCCAAGTCTAAGAACTACAAGAACTACGGTCTGGACCTGATGAATGGTAAGGTACACGATTGCCTAAAAGCCGGTGTGCTGGAACCCAGTATGAGCAAGGTCAAGCAGTTGAAGTCGGCAGTGGAGGCGTGTGTCGCCATCATGCGTATCGATACCCTGATCAAGCTGGATCCAGAGGAGCAAGGCGGAGGTGGTGACGACGGTCATGGACATTAGATGTCCCGGCGTCGAGAAGAGATAGACCGGTCTGAAAAGATAACGACAGCGTAATGAAGGCTCCAAGCCCACGTGCAAGATGCTCTTCCTCCGTCCCCGCTCATTCTTGAACAACACACTGAGGACTTTGACTAAGAATCTGCTTGCCGAGGCACTGACTCATGAAAAGTTTGGGGGCCACATGCTGAATGCAGTTAAAGTGTAGGACCTTCGGACCGACCCTAGCACCTGTCCTCGAAGTGGTGTATACAACTCAGCCTTGCGGATCGCAACCACAACAGACAGGTCTTTGACGTTACAATTCGGGGACAAGTCATATCGTAAAACTGTCGGTGTAAAGACTAGGAAGTCTTACCAGTCTTACCAATTTTTAGTGCCTCGTCTTTGTGTTCTACCCTCGGCATGTCAAAACCCTTGGTAGAGATCTACATGCGAATCTGCCGCGCCGCCAACACACGCCTTACCGGTGAAGCTATCTCGCGACCAAAACATCCGACGTGCCTGGTGGTCACCTAGATGGGGAAACGCACGGCTGTATTGGCTCCGCGTGGCTTATGTCGTGACCTATCAAAAGGCTGCACAAGCGAGCTGAGGAAGAAACAACCACCCGCCTCGCTACCCCATGCTCGTTGTACACCCGTCGTCCCTGCAGCGGTCACCATTACATCTAGTGTTCAGATGGATGATATGTGTAGATGACGAACTTCTGGGTTCTCTGTACTGAGAGAATGGGAACAATGACAGGAAACAAACTTTGTCGTATCTAGATATGCGGGCGATCCAGTCGCTTCTTGAAGCGGCTTTGTTTGCACTCTTCCACTGAGCCTCAGTTTACACAACCCTCAGCTGATCAGCCCGCCAATACCCATTTCTCGTATCACAACCGCGACGTGCAAGCCCCAGTGGGTCCCTGCACGCCTTATGGCACATCGTCTTTCGCATTGCTCGCAATCCAACATGGGTACTTAGTTTAGAAAGTCTGCTCTTTCGCAATGGGCCTATCCTCATTCTCAATATTGCAAATCTTTGAAATTCGGGCGTCATGGCATATACCAAGCTTAGTCCGTTGCTCGCCATCCTCTTGTCTTCGAAGTATGTGGACGCTGCTATGATACGGGCGCCGACACCTGCTGTCACGCCTGCGCCTGCTGCTACAGCTGCTCCGCTTGCCGTCAGGGACATCACTACCATTGGTTATATATCCACGGGCATGTATGGCAGTACTACACTGTGTAAGAAGAGTCACCCAAATCAGGCCTTCGTGGATACTAATACTGTTCAGATGAAACCATCACGGCGAACAATGAGGGTCATGTCATTGCAACATCAGGTAGTCTTTACAAGATCTGCGCCCCGGAGTCACTTTGCGAGTTCTTTTCTTGCGAAAATGATTATGCAGTGTTTCCCACCACGAGTATCTTCTGGTACGATGCTACACCTTCAATTCCTTTATACCGATGATTGACGTACTATCACAGTGGAGGCTCAAGCAGCACATGTAGCTACTGGGAACTGGTAAGATATTGGTTCCCGCACGAACTCAATATGAGACATATACTGACTTCGGAAACTTGCAAATAGGCAACAGATATCAATGACCCTGCACCACTGACCAACTACTGGTGTGATGTCAAGACGGAGACTGGTGGACTGATCTTAATGGTTACACCTGATGATGGTATGTGCTCTTTCCCCCGCTTCCAACAACGCGTATGCTGATGGTGCGTTTCAAAGACTCTTCGACCTCCCCGAATACGCGCTCAGCTTCAAATACCCCACTGTTCTCATCCTTCACGCCGGTGTCCATTTCCGATACTCCAGGATCCTCAGATATACCAGGCGCTCTGCCACCCTCGGCAGAGGTTAAAGAATCTAAGAAATCAACCCCAGTCGGTGCCATCGCTGGTGGAGTAGTCGGTGGCGTCGCTCTTCTAGCCGCCGTCGTTCTAGGTGTCTTCTTCTTACTTCGCCGCAAGCGGAAGCAGCAGAACAACATCACTACTAATAACAACGTGCCACAGCCACCTACCGCACCCCAGGCACCACCGGCAGGCGTTCAGTACTACCATGAGCAGAAGCCAGTTCCTCAGCAACAGGTCCAACAGATGCCTTCTCCACCTCCTCAACAACAACCACACTACGGTCATTATGATCCCAACGCGCAACAGGCGCCGCAGTTCTATGATCCCAACGCTCAGTCTGCGTATGCTGCGCAGCAGGGTAGCTATGCGATGCCAGAGAAGACACCCGCTGTGACGAACCCGGTACAGGCAAATCCATACTATGCGGACAACAGTGGACCAGTGAGCCCTGTGCCACAATACACGCCTTCCATGTCGCCGGCAGTTCCGGCGAACGTTAATGAGCTACCGGCTGGGAGGACGTAAGAACGAGGATGCGGTTGCGGATCGTGAGTAATGTGGCGCCGGTCTTAGTGGTTGTCGATGCCTCTGTTCCCTCTTGACCAGTACCATACTATGTGTTGCATGATGGGTGACAGATCGATGTGCATATCAAGTGCGATTACGTTTCAGTCTATATGAATTATACCCCCTGTTGTTCAATTCAAAAGGAGTCGAGACCGACGTTGAAACAAGATGTTTACATCAACGAAGATGTATTCTTGGATGATGGAGCCGCTTGAGACATCTAGGCGTGCTGTTGAGTATGCATTGTTACAAATCCATCATGACTTGGAACAATAACCCTTGTGGAAGCCCCAAGCCATCTTCTGATGTTCTTTTCCGCAGTAGTACGCATTACCACATCCAGCACACTTGGACTTTGCGCTTGGAGCTCCGCAATGACCGCACCACTTCTCCTTCGCACGGTTATCCCACCTCTCCTTCGTCTTCAATGCCACTTGTTCGAGCCAGTCATCTACAGGTGTACCACTGATCGCCAAAGTGCGTTGGCTCTTACTGGAATCCGCACCCTTTGCTAGTTTACTGAAACGCACCGCAAACTCTTCGGGGGTATCCAGAGCAAATAATTGCTTTCCTTTTGGTCCAGGTCCACGACCTACGTCGCCAAATTGCATGGAAGAAAGGTCGAGAAATGACTGAACGGTTTCGCTGTCGTGCGGGGAAAATCCTACAACCGCATGCTTCAGTTCTGACTCGTGACCACTAGTGTACATTGTACCCTCTGGGAGTACGTAGATAGCGGTCGTAAGCTTTGGGTTGCGGAAAGTCTCTTCAACAATAACGCGCCTACTAATGGTTGTCATGTAAGATGAGCCTGGCCCCTTACCATAAGGAAAATGTCGCACCCTCAATTTCGTCTTGTCCTGGAAGAGGGCGAAAAATATTTGGAGAAGACTGATGGCCTGGTAGCAGCCATCGTGATTGTGCGCTTGGTGAAACAAAGTCTCCAGTTGCTCGTTCGAGAGTGTGCTGTCCTCAATTTGGTCCTGAAGTAGGAAATCGATGGGAAGATCTAGAGCATTTGGGGTACTCGCTTGCTGTTGATCTAGTATGATCCAGGTACACGCATTCTTGTTCCAGCCTTGAGTCACCAGATTATTGAGCGCGACTGTCCGTGGTTCCGTACCTGTGCATGTTGGTTAGTTATAGATCAACTTTCCTTTCTGTTTTGCAGCATACCGGGAAAGGCGACTTCTCTCAATCTAGTGTGTCGAAACCGAGGTTCTGTAGTGATACGCTCGTAGTTTAGCAAGATAGCGATATCATAGAGATCCAGCACCTCTTCCGAATCTGTCATATTTGCCAGGGTCTTGCGAGATTCGGCACGTGTAATACTGAGATGGCGGGAGCGTTTTTAGTGAGATCCAGATTATGGCGCAGCCGCTTGACTATTCGAAGCTTAGCGCAAAACACGTCTTGAAAAAGGTGATGTCACCTGAGGACGCGTCGCAAGCTTGTATCTAGCTGCCAACACAGCAAGGGAAATCAACATCTTGTGGTTCTGTATGTCCAGTTCGTGCTCTAGGCTCAGGTGCTCGTATTGTTGCTACAGCGAACCTTGTACGTCTGCACGTCTATAAACGACGCCTAATCTTGGGTGAGTCGAGGTAAATGCAAGCCGACATGCTTTGCCGTAGGTACGTTTGTGCTGTTAGCAGCGCTTCCGACGACGAGAACTCGCACGCCCTCCTAGAAAAGCTCCTCAAAACCAGAGATATTCAACAGCCTTTCTTACTCGCCGAAGCTCTGAAGATCTATATCCCACAGGCTGTCCACCTCTTTACGACCAGAGTCAGAACACGCAGACGACTGGGTGGTCGTCAATGCGAACACATCGCTTTCTCGGCTCGGGCTCACACTCACAGAACTGGCCGCGCTCTTACGCGTCTTGTACCACGCCGAGGACATCATAAAGTTGCCTGCCAGTTTCCTAAAACACTTATCAAACCTGTCTTAGAGCATGTTTTCCTCTCACCCTCAATTTACCTTGAAGCCTATAGTGTCAATCCAGCGAAGCGGAATTCATCATAGACGATGAAGAGGTGCATGATACAATGGACGATAGGACCGCGACCCCAGTCGGCTGTAAGGAGTATATCGGCACGAAGCCGAAGCATGCGGCACGGCAGTAGCAAGGTGTGATGTCTATGCATTAGCGTACCCGAAGCTACGGAGATTACCTACAACACGTATACTCCTGTCGCTCGTCCTTGTTGCTTGCTCTTGAGTACCTAGGTACACCACAACATCGCACAGCAAAGAAACTTCCATAAGAGTAAACTGCATCACTTCAGGTAGCACTATGTCTGTAGACGAATCGACAATACTCGAGAATCGAAGTTCGCGTTGCGGCGCAGAGCTTGAGCTATGGTCAATGGTCGATGGCCACGCCACAATGGCGCATAAAACGACGGCTTCGGAAATTTTCATCGGCATAGTCGAACGAACCAATGAGTACACGATCTCAAACTCGATGTACTGTGCTACCACAAAAGAGACGAAATGAGAAGACGCAACTATGAATATTGTCTTCTGGCATACTAGACTTTAGGTCCTCATAGCTACTACTCTATCAACAGGCATGTTTAACAAAATAGGTAGTAATCAACTCCTTCTCAGTGCCCTTGTTCGCAGGATTCTGCCAAAGTGTCGACTCGTCACCAACTTCACTATGCTTCGTTGTTGCTGTCTTCTCAGATACGTCGTCCCGCAATTGGAGTCCATATGCTTCGTTGGTCTGCTCTTGATCGTTTGATGCTGGTAGCGTTGGTTTATCGCTCTTGAATCCATCACGATCTCTTTTACTATTACCGAAATGGGAACTTAGAAGGCCTGGGACGTAGCGCACGAAAAACGGATTGAGGGCGGGTGCGCATGCGCAGACGATTCCGGCATTGACTTCAGCAAAACACCATTGGAATTGCTCAACAGCATCCCATGTATAATCGGGTGAGATCATGAGCGGCTTCAAGAGCGTTGTTCGACGAATGGCCACGAGGCATACGCTTGTGCAAATAGTCAGCAGAATTTTCCGATGACAATCTCGATGACTTACAATTCTCCGGTCGCGAATATGCCGCAAACAGTGATCTTCCGTCTCCGCGACATCTGTAGTCTTGCGACAACGGGTATCGGAAGTACCAAGGTAATCACGTCAATGACGATGTTCAGTACTGAAAGCGCCATGTACTTTGTTAGCTGATTCATACACACAGCCTCCGGCAAACGTGTGAGATCCCATGTTGCGGCTATCGGTCTGCAGCCAAAGGTGCTGACGAAGTCGTAAACTGTTGCGTACACTATTACACAGGCGATGAGCATATGAACCAATGTGCGGAACCCTTTCTGTGGTGATAAACGTAGGTAGAAAAGTAGAATGGAAAGCTTTGAGAAGGCAAGGCTGGTGGCATATAGGATAGTACCAACTAGCGTCCACTGCACGTCTCATTAGTCGTGCAGCGATAATCTTGTAGTGCTATACCTACTTTCTGAAAGGGAAGCTCATAGTCTTCTGTCTTGACTTCCCACATATGGTAGCCCAAGCCGGACTTCATATCTATACACCGTTCAGCTTTGTAAAATAGGCCGAATGATGCGAAACACACGTGGAAAATTGCAACCAAGCAGCGCAAGGCTGCACATCATTGCAAACACTATCACGTCTACACGTGTTGAATTAGCGACAACAACTCTCACGTTCTGTACGCTATCCAAACGACTTACAGTCATTGAGGTGGATTCCCATCTTGGTAACATGCGCTCTTGTAAAGAGCTGCAAGACTACTGCTACCAGAGCAAGTGCAGTTGTCGAGATACCGACAGCAGCGAGTTCTTTGTGAAGATTTGGTGGATTGACTGCGTGTCTAGTATGGCCCGACGGTGGGACTGCCACGTAAACTGATGCTGTGCTCATTGTCGCTGATTTAGAATATAGTTGTAGCTCCAAGTCCGAAGTTAGAAAGCTAAGATATGAGAAGCGTATTATAGACTTGGACTGAATTCATCAGCACTCCAGGGTTTGCTGTGCCTCATACTAACATGGTACCGCTGGAGTGGTTCCAATGCGTCACCAAATCAAGGTGAATCCCTTTATACGAGGCTGTTTTTGGTATGTATCTACAAAGCGAAACCGAATCCATGGATGTACCGGGAGGATTCTGACTTGCATTGAGAGTTGTTGACCTTCGCCAGCGATATGCCCGATACTCCATTCGTTCTCGGTTCTAGAATAAGATAATTCGACTCCGCAGCGACAAGAGCTCCGCGACTCTGCAAGTCATAATCATTCAACTCAGGATTGTTTGTATTAGGAGATGCCGGTTTAGATGATGTGGCTGTGGAAATGCAAATGCCTGCACATCTGCATATAAAGAGCGGATGGACGGCACTAGTCCAGCAGGGATTTCCGGAACAGGCTATAGCACAACTCAACACCCTGCAGAAGGATTCAATGTCATCTACCACGCGGAAACAGACCCTAGTATCAGCCCTGTCCACAAGATGATACGTGTGCATATGCGGCGCGGTTGTGCTGAGATGACTCGTTGCTTGCAGTCATGACCCAAGAGGTAATGGTAGCTGTAGGGTATATGTGTGGCAGCTTGCTGTTGAACTTGTGTTGCGTTGTACTTTCCACATTCTCTTGTGTGTCATCATGGGCGACATGGCAAACCCCCTTCCATATGCTGTCAATCCCCTTCCTTTCGCGGGAAAAGTCATCGCGGTTACTGGAGCCAGTCGAGGCCTGGGTCTAGCCCTTAGCAAGTACTTGCTCGTCCGTGGTGCTACTGTCAGTAATGCCCCTGTAGGAACTGCATATGAGATATTCACTGACTTCACACCCACACCTACGTAGGTCTCTATGTGTGCAACTTCAGCTGACAACCTCTCCAATGCTGCCAAAGAGATCGACGGTGAACTCCCAGATGACAAGAGCCGGTACTGGACGTGTATTGTGGACATTGTCAACCTCGATAGTGTTCGCTCTTGGATTGAAGAGACCGTCGCAAAGTTTGGAAAGCTCGATGGGGCGGCGAATGTTGCAGGTAAGCTCGATTGACCTCTGCATGTACTGAAGACGTCGTTGATCGGATCCTCAGCGGTGGAGCAACGCGAAATCTTCCCCATAACAGATCTCGACCCAGAGTACTTCGCCAGGCTAGTCAATGTAAACGTTGTGGGCACCTTTCATTGCTTGAAAGAAGAGATGAAGGTTATCGAGGATGGAGGCTCGATTGTGAACGTCGGAAGTATTGCGAGCCAGGCAAGTTGAACGAGTACGAGCTATATGAGACATGTGCTGACTTCGTATCTTCACCCATGTAGTACGCGACATATGGTACTTCGGCCTACGTCGCAGCTAAGCATGCACTCATCGGCTTGACAAAAGTTGCTGCTTTTGAGGGAGCATCGAGACGAGTCAGAGTCAACGCGCTGTGCCCGTGAGTGATGCTAGTACTTGACGAGAAGCTGAGCTGACCATTGACAGCGGCTGTTTCAACACACCGATGATGACAGAACCGTTCAATTCGTCACAAGGGCAGTTCTTCCTAAACAAGGACAACATTCCATGTATCCTCAAGCGTGAGCTCCCAGAAACATGGGAAATTGCTGGGTCCATTGCGTTTCTACTTGGTGATGAGGCTGCACACGTTACGAAAGCGTCGTGGTTTGTTGACGGCGGCTGGACAGAGGGAACTTATAGTTCTGGCTGAGGTCACCAGGGCGATACGCATCTTGATCGACCGGAGCCTTCAGATAAAAACAGAAACAAGACATTGACCCAAGACTGATCTGTGTCGATATGGAGTGCACCGGTGTCCAGAAGCCAGATGTAAGGAAGTTCAGAATGAACGCGATCGCGTTCTCGGTTTTCGCGACGCGACCATCGTGGTTCAACCGCCATCCGTAGCTAGCTGGGGGTTATCCTCCGCGACACCGCCATGGCTGCACCAATCAATCACTTATCACTACCTCACCCCCGTCGCCTTCTTTCCGACGGGATAGAGATCACGTGCGTATCCTTTGATGCTCCCAACGTCTCCGTCGGAAAAGGTAGCAATGCGACTCCATGTGCACCTTTCCGTGGAGAAGGACGGGTATCCAGTTACCTATATAAGTCCCAAAGATCCAGCACGATGAAGAACATAAAAACTCCAAAATATCCTCTATCTCATCATCAACACAGCTGCAGCCATACAGATACCATGGCTCCTCTATATGCAGACGCCAACATTACCCAGCTCCAGCGCGATGCAGATGATTGTTTGCTTACATACGGAACCGCATTTCATCCCGAAATCATCACCTCGACCGATGGCATCAACGTGGTCACTGCCTCAGGTCACCGAATGATGGATGTAAGTGGCATGCAGCGCAAGACCATACTAGTTAGTCAACGTTGATCGTAAATTATAGTTTACCTCAGGACAAATGTCTACTCTAATCGGACATGGCCACCCTGAGGTCGTGAAAGTGATTGCAGAGCATGCACAGCATCTCGATCATCTCTTCAGTGGGATGCTGAGCCCTCCCGTAATAAATCTTGCAAAGCGTCTGACTGGTGTCGCGCCTGCTGGACTTGACAAAGCATTCTTCCTAAGTACAGGTGGAGAAAGGTAAGTTGTGATTGCGAGAAATACGTAGAAAACATGCTCTGACTCCGTACCTCTACACCTGCAGTAACGAGGCCGCTATTCGATTAGCCAAATTCTATACTGGTAAATGGGAGATTGTTGGCCTGGCTGCCTCGTGGCATGGTATGACGGGTGCATCGCTTGGTGCTCAATACCATGCTGGGCGTTCTGGTTACGGCCCCAATATGATCGGAAATCTAGCATTGCCCACCCCCAACTCCTATCGTTCGATCTTCAGACACCCAGATGGTACGTATGACTGGAAGACAGAACTGGACTATGGCTTCGATCTTCTGGACAAACAGTCATGCGGCTCGCTTGCAGCAGTCATCATTGAACCCATACTGTCAAGTGGCGGTATGCTAGAGCTTCCACCTGGGTACTTGAAGGCATTGAAAATGCACTGTGAAGCACGAGGCATGCTTCTCATCGTCGATGAGGCACAGACTGCACTCGGAAGAGCTGGTGACATGTTCGCGTTCACGCACTATCCCGAAGACGAGGGCACCGTACCGGATATCCTGACACTCAGCAAGACGCTTGGAAATGGAATACCACTCAGCGCCATCATGACATCGAATCGCATCGCTCAGCATGCCAAAGACAACGGTTTCCTGTTTTACACTACGCACATCAACGATCCTCTTCCAGCTGCTGTTGGCGATAAGGTTCTTGAGGTTGTCATCAGAGACGATCTCTGTGCTCGTTCCAAGAGACTCGGTGTCAAGCTTCAAGCTGGACTAAGGCAGTTACAGTCACGATACGGTTGTATCGGTGACGTACGTGGCCGAGGCCTCATGGCCGGCATGGAAGTGGTTAGCGACAGGAAAACGAAGGTTGGCGCCCCGGAAGTCGGAGCTGCAGTGTCAAAAAAGATGGTAGACATGGGTCTTTGGGCCCAACTAGCGACAATGCCATCTTTTGGTGGGGTGTTCCGGATTGCACCTCCCATCACTGTCACGGAGGAGCAGCTCGACCTCGCTCTATCGATCATCGAAGAAGCTTTGAGGACAACTCCGGGTACAATGCCGTTATACACTGATGTCGATTCTGGACGTTCGTTGGATTGAACATGCTATCCTGTGGAGGGTACACTTAGAACCGAATACTGGCTCCTTCATTAGCAGCATGAGTGCCAGCCAGCAGCTTTCTCTCAGGCCTCTAGGGGATTTTCTGATAGAATTTGAGACCTGTCTTGCGGATGCTGAGTAAGTATCGAAACTTCATTCGCCGGCCTTCGTCACTTGTGATCTCTCGGTGAAGCTCAGGTAAAGGGTGCCGGCCTTGAGTCTTGATCGGATACGTGAGGTGTCTATTGCGCAAGAGCTGAATGTAGGTGTGCAAGAAGTAGTGCCTATAACTACGCAGTACCGGTGAGTACAGACTCTTCGCTGTGATGTTTGAATCGCTCAAGTGGAGCGACGTAGATCCAAATGTGAACTGTGAAGCTGCGTGGGTACTATGACAAAGTTGTGGATATTGCTGCAAGGAGACCTGCTAGCATGGCTGCTCATTGTCGCAGTCTTGAATGATGGGGTAAATGTGGGTTGAGTCAGAAGCAGAACTGTCACGTTCCGTTCCACACGTATCATAATATCGTGAGTTCCTAGGTGTATATCTAAGTAATGCCTCACCTTGGTCCTTGATTTATGCTTCCACACCACTGCTACCTACTGCGGTACGTCGTCGCCCTTGATATCCCTTCCTTTATCTCCAGCATACCCAGACCACTTCGCGCCGCCTGGCCAACGATCATTCCAGAGCTCCTTGCCTTCGTCACCTTGTTTGGATGTACTGTTATGTTCTCGCATCCAGCAATCTATGCACCACTCTTCACTCGGCTGGAGTTTATCAACGATGCTGCTGCACTGGCGTTGTATAGGGTATTGCTGGGCTAGTCTGCATAATGTAAAAGTATGTATAGAGCTGAGTAGAATATGTTGGTCTGGACAAGAGTATTCAGTATAGTTGCGGAAGCACATTGGGAGAGTACCGTGGTCAGGGTAAAGCAAACAGAGAAGAAGACTTGCCTAGGCGACTCGTTTTAATGATCCGATATTGTGAAGACATGGCAGCAGTGACTGAGGCTGATGCAGAGACGATATCATGAATGGCAAAAGTTTGACATTTTTGCACTAGCAAGCTAGCATAACAATATATTTACAGAAAAGAAGTTACTGGCTAGGCCAGCGAGGCGCACATCGACACACACCTTCATCAAGTCCGCACCACTACGATTACTTGAAGTACCAAGCCGTGAAGTCATTCTATGGCTTACGGGCAGTTCACAGTGATAGACGCAGAACCGGTAGAGAAGTATCCCTCGGTAGCGACGATCTGGTAGTAGTGGTTACCAAGAGTCATGCCCTTGCTGGCCCAAGCATCGAAGTGAGTCTTCATGTTCACGGATCCGCTGGAGCGTTTGTTCTGGCGAACAGACCAGTACTGCTGAAAGGTCTTCGTTCCATCGATGGATGGCTGGTTAGTACGGGTCGACTGAGCGATCTTGTAGGAAGAGCCGTCGGCAGTCACGGTACCCTTGTTGCTAGCCTGGGAACTCGGGTCATAGGTTCTGTCGACGAAATCAGTATATATCCTAGGTGGAGATTGTACAGGGAAATCGCTTACCCGAAGTTCTCAACGACATAGTATTCGACGAGAGGGTTACGTGTCCAGCCATAGATGGCAAGGTAGGAGTTGCCGTTGGGGTTGTAGGAGCCGGAGTAGGTAATGGTGCTGATATGATTAGCAAGTGTTTCTCATCGATTGTTTACTTCAAGGAGTTGACTTACCGGGCCGATCCAGGGTTCCATCCCTTACCACCAACAAAGTTGCCGCCGCTTCCCCAGTTGACGCTGTAGCTGCCACCTGCACCGTTGGTGTAAGTGACCTTGGAGCCACCATCAGTCCACCAAGAGTAGACTAGAATATTTGGTCAATTACTGCTTACACTTATATCAATGATTCAACCTACAGCAGCCGTTGTGTGTTCCTTCGGCGTTGGGGGTGCTTTGGCGAGCGACGAGGTCGCCGGAGGAACGAGCAGCTACATCAGTGGCGGGAGCAGCGAAAGCACCAGTCGCAGCAACAGCAGCAGTGATGATGGAAGTAAAGGATACCATATTGAAAATGAGGAGACTGTGGTTGGAAAACGATGGGAGATGGTTGTTCGTGGTAGTGATTTACGAGGACGACTCATGATGGCTTTATAGCCGTTGCTATTGTACACCGCGGCGTGATGGTCGAATGGAGTAGGCCCGGTCCTGCTGGCAAAGCCAAGACGAACATTCTCGCCATTGCAACGGCCGTCCATCTCTTAGCAGCTAGGATGTAGATCAAGGACTGAGGCGGAAGGGACACTAATATGCCACGCTTGGCGTTCGTGAAGAAATGTGCCTGCGAAGGCAGTAGGCTAAGCCAATAGCATCAACAGCAGCTCGGGATATTTTGGAATTCCAGCTCATGAATCAGGTTTGATTGGCTGGTAGCTTGAAACAAAGATTCATGGGACTAGGCCGTGCGGTCATTAACTTAGATGTCAATATCTCCGTTATGGGGCTGGCTTCGGGTCATGGCGGCGCTATGGCCGTCCTGGCAAGAACCCCTCCACCTATGTTTCCCATCTCTTTCGCATGCATACGCCAAGCTCTCCGCCTTTGCATTCTTCCAGCGGTTAAAGAGAGTCTTGGCTCGAATACCGAATCGTGGAGCCGTGAGCTGTTAATCTATGTGAAGCCGCGTGACACGTGCGGCGCTTGGAGGTGGCGGTAAAGGCGTAGTTCTTACACATCGCTCCGTATGAATTTTCAATGCCCAAGAAGCTCGGTATGGAGTATAGCATTTCATCTATAGGCTGTATGGTGTTGGCGATGTCACAGTGATAGATGAAAGGGGACTGAGGGGTTTTCGTAGGCGTCCATGCGTGCTGCCAAGCAACTGCGGCCCTGCAGCTTGCTTGAGCCGCCCCATATCCGGGTGTTTGTTTTCCATTACCATGACGCCCGTATCCTGGGCTGATTGATCAGCGAACAGAGACGAAACTACGCTGGCAAGTTACCATGATTGGGCTACGTTCCGATCCTTCAGCCCGGTCAAGCGCTCACGCTCCCGGTCCCGTGCCTCGAGATCTTAGGTAGAGTGCCGTTTTGGAACGATCTTTGATCTTCAAACCAAGCATTTGGCGACCTGAACAACTCCAAGATACCAAAGCGAATTATCGCGCTACCAAGGCCACGCCGATGAGACCTTGCATGCCAGCAGGCAAGACTGTCACAACCTTAACCGACCCATCACGTCCACGTCATCGCAGCCGCGGATGCTTCTTCCAAACATGAACACTAGACCTGTACTGCAGTGGTTGCACTTGCAAAACGCGAGATGATCACATGGTGCCGTTCAGCCGTACCCCGGAGAATTGCAAGCTGCTTGATGTTCCGGGAAACTTAACGCACGAATCACAGTTTACCCACCATAGTACGAAGCCCCGTCTGCGGTACCTGTACATAGCCGTCTGCACCCCAGATTTCAGAATGTAGAGAATGCATATCGACCTTGCTTGCCCAGGCTCTTGGTATCGTATAAGATGTCTTGTCCAGGCTTGTCCCGGCGGGTGAAGGGCGATTGCGTGGAAGCTTGGTTGAACCGCTGATTATGAAGGGTCAAATTATGGAAATTGGTACACGAGAGTCTGCACCGCGTGAAACAACGCATACAACAGGGGTTAGAAGGAGTATCATCGACGAGCGTAGTCAGAAGGCTGACGTCTATACAGACAGCAACCAAACAAGTACCATTCACTGGATAACTCTTTGTATCCCTTCGAAGCCATGTGAGCTAACACACTTTGACAAAAGATGTCCCTAATAGGTGTGCTCAGAATATACAACCGGATCGGTAATCTCTGTCTTTCCATACCTCTCAATGATGTGTTCTTCAATTTCAGATTATGGGTATACTAGAAGTGTCAGAATCGTGCTACATTATGATATCCTCTAGAGTGTTCAGAGCATATTCACACTCACCTTCACCTCGCATCGTCGTCGACAATACTACAATAAGTTTCAATCCACGGTGAATGAATACTATGTACTCTCTAACGTTTACCGTTGACGAACCTTTCCCAATCGCCAACAACATCAACAACCTCCTCTGCGTTGAACCTCTCTGTCATATTTCTTCAACTCTAAGCCTACTGCTACACTAGACACCAAGATCTAACAAGAATGTGCAGACGCAACTACTACTGGCACACTGCGTGCGAGCACATCAAACAAGACTACGCGAACCCATTCACGATGTGTGGCAAAGACCCCGGAAGCCGGTTTCGACTACCGTGTCCAGTCGCTGTCGAAGTCGTTTTGGATTGTTCAGGTCATTGCAGAGATTGCATGGAGACCTTGGAAAAGAAACTCGAAGTTTGGAAAATTCGGCAGCAAGCAGGTTGGGAGTGGCAGCCGAAAAGGGCAGTCGCCTAGGGACCTCAAAGCTGGGCAGATAGAAGGTGATCTCTGGGCAGTACGTGGGAAGGTTGAGTGGACAGGCTGGAAATGAGGTTCGTGGGACTACGAGATGCTGGACTCGAAGTTGATATGCCTAAATAATGCCCACGAAATTCCTACAAGACAGTACCACAGCCAGGCGAGAGAATATGATTGCATGAATCTTTCAGTCATATGCATGATCGCTACGTCATTGCTCTGATCAATTTCATGTACTTCGTCCTACCACACTGATCGCTACACTTATGTTTCAGCGAAATCGTTTGCCGAATGCCGCAATTTGGTAAAGCTTCCTCCTTCAACCATTCCTCCCCAGCCAAATACCTGTGGCTCAGTAGACTGACATAAGAAAAAAAAGAAAACGGGGTATTGGGTATTGCGCTCATTATGGGGTATATCGCGAAGCAAAACGCCACGCGTTCAAATCGCATCCGATGTTCATAATCCACATCCATCTCTTCATTACGTGGCTCATCATCTCCTTCCTTTCATGTCGTTAATTTGTGTCGTGTTTGTCGTTCAAAGATCAGGATCTTCTTCAATTGAAATCTCTGGCTCGGGGAGCCATTCCCTCAGCTGCATCATCCTGTTCCTGCAATGTATGATGAAGATGGAAATGGCAAGGGAATTCCAGACATCGCAACCTTCCTGCATGAAGTCGTACATGGCGAGCAGACGCACAGAAGACTGTTCGTTCTTCTTAGTCGAAGGCGCGTAGCTCACAAAAGCCATAACGGTGTGCGTTGCGGTAATGCCATACAGTGTCGGAACTTCAGGCACATTGGAATCTCCTCGGTCTGTGGCCTGGTCGATCTGCAGGGCATCATACCACAACTCGTGCAGACGATCGAGCTTTTCGATCATCTTGCGCTCTCCAACCGCCGGGTGCACATGCTTTGAGAAGGTGACGGTCTGGAATAGCGGGAGTTGGGACCAGAGGTGTTCAACTCCGCCATCCTTCATAGCCCACTTCGTGTACGCCTTGACGGCCTTGCCAATCTGGAAATGAGGAGCCCGCTTCGTGCGTGTGTGCCAAGCGTCACGAGAGACACTGCCCAGATCGAAGAGCTTCTCAAGAGCATACTGCGCTGGATAATGTCAGTAACATGCTCGCAATAAATGGAGCTGTAACATACCACTGTGCTCGGTGCCATAGGCTGGTTTGATGAATGCCTTGTCAATGTTCTCGGTGAAGAGGTCTGCGGGAACGGTCTCAAGGTCAGCGATCCAGCTGATGGGCATCAATGGCTCGAAGCCGCGCATGCCCAGCTTCTGGAAAAGGAAGACAGCGTCCTCAGACCAACCAGCATCGCGCAGCTCACGCGCTTGCTGGTCCTGTCTCTGCCTCTCTTGGTCGTGATTCACTTTCTTCTGTGCAATCATGTAAGTTCCGTCATCGACAACCATGGTTTCCTCGTTCGCATCCCACAAGTCGGCAGAAGAGCCCTCTGTCAGGTCGTCTCGCGTGGCGGGTGATTTTTTGGCTAGCATGTCGCTCTCTAGGTCTTTGGAAGAGACGGCTGATGCTGGAGGGGACGGCGGCAACAAGGTCGCGTCGATGTTGAAGTTTGAGGCTGGCGGATCGCATGTCTTGACAGGCACTTCTGGACTCATCTCCCGTGTGAGTGGTGAGGTCTTTTTAGGAAGGGTCGTGACTCGGGTGGGGATTGCGGGCGCCTTGAACGCGAACGGCTTCTCCCGCTGGTGTTGTATCTTGCGCGGACTGACATAGTTCCAGATAGTCTCGGGAATTCCGCGAAGAAACGCCATGGTGAGGAGTTTTGTGTGGTGTTTGTGTTTGCTTGCACAGAGCTAGGTTTGTCGACAGGCGGTCGTGGACGTCGTGTGGAAAGAGCTTGGTGGGGCCTTCTAGTCGATGTGCGAAGTCGCGGTGAAGGTGAGGGTGAAGCGTACTCGATCCCCCATGCGGCAGGCCAGTGTACCGTCTTTGTTTTCTTTGTCGCCTTGTTGAACTGCTAGTCGTCCTTCACTCACAGTGAGCAAAGACGAGGAGAAAAGGAGTCATAGTGAAAGTAGGGCTTGTTCCTGCATGCGCACCCGCACCTGCAGCCCTGGACTTGGCATGCCACGCTGTCACATGGATCCTAACCAGCTACGGCAAGCACCAGCCGGAGCCTGCAGATTGCGGTGAAGATCTAATCAGATGGAACTCTGACACCCCACCAGATCTTTGGATCCCCGCCAAAAAAGAGTCGAGCCGCGATCGGGAAGACATTTACGTGCAAGACTAGGTTTTTCCAATCACTCTCTTTTCCCACAACAACAAAATGGCAGTCACAGAGCAGGATACCCAAGTGTCTACGCTTCGCAATATTCTGACCTCGGAGTCGGAGCCCCTCGCCCGCCGCTTTCGCGCTCTTTTCTCTCTCAAGCACCTTGCAGGTCTGCAGCCACCCAGTGCGCAGACGGTCCCCGCAATCGAGGCCATCGCTGCCGCTTTCGCATCGCCGTCAGCTCTGTTGAAGCATGAACTCGCCTACTGCCTGGGCCAGTCTGGCCATGATGCTGCCATCGCACCCTTGAGGGGCGTACTCGAGGACAAAGAGGAGGATTCCATGTGCAGGCACGAGGCTGCCGAGGCGCTCGGTGCACTGAGCGACAAGGGCAGTCTCGAGCTGTTGAGGGCGTTGAGGGACGATGTCAAGGAGATCGACGTTGTGCGCGAGACTTGCGACATCGCCGTTGACCGCATCGAGTGGGATCATGGACTGCAAAAGGGACAGGAGAAGTTGAAGAAGAGGTATGATATATCCGATTCTATATAGTCGGTCTGGTTGCTCACAAGGAACAGTGATTTTACGTCCATCGATCCTGCGCCGCCACTACCACAGGGCGCTGAGAAGCCATCGATCCCAGAGCTAGAGAAGACACTGCTAGACACGTCCCTGCCATTGTTCCAGCGCTATCGAGCCATGTTCGCCCTGCGCGATCTCTCCTCGCCGCCCGACCTTCCCACTGCCGTCCCGGCTGTACAAGCGCTCGCTCGCGGATTCACAGATCCATCTGCCCTCTTCCGCCACGAGATCGCCTTTGTCTTTGGGCAGTTGTCGCACCCAGCGTCCATCCCCAGTCTTACAGAAGCGCTCAGTAACACAAAGGAGGCAAGCATGGTCCGACACGAGGCTGCCGAGGCACTTGGAAGTTTGGGCGATGAAGAAGGCGTCGAAGACACCTTGCGCAAGTTCTTGAACGACCCAGAACAGGTAGTACGAGACAGTGTAGTTGTAGCGCTTGACATGGCAGAGTTCGAGAAGAATGGAGAGATGGAGTATGCCATCGTGCCGCAGGCTGTGGCAGCTTAGAACCGAAGGTATTGCATACACATGGCGTTTTGGGTATATAGAAATCAACATGGCCACCATAGGCAGAACATCCGCTTCAGTTGTTGGTATTCCACCTGTAAGATAGCAATTAGCATAAGCTCAGCTCTGCATGTGGACCTCTCGACGTACTTGTGACCGCAGTCGCACTCGTAGAAGACGGTGCTTCCTTCATCTGCACTCCGCAGTTGCTGCGTGTAGTATCGCACTTCCTCTCTTCCACATTTTTCGCATGGATGGTTGATGATACTGCTGGTTTGGACATCGGCTTCGGAAATGGTCTGCACCTCAGACCTCTTTGCCCGCAACGACGACGGAAAGGCGGTAGGCTTAGAAACTGTAACGACCGTCTTGGATGATGTGTCTAGCACTGGTCAGCCTGGCTATATCCATCGTTGCGCAACATAGATGCGCATACCTTTACATTGCGCCCCACATGCCGCGCAGGTCAGGATGACATTTTGTTTGCCGGCAGATCCGTCGAGGAGGTTTCCGCAGTCAGTGCAGAAGACTAGACTACCAATAGCTGACATTGTGGGCGACTTGTTGATTTGTCGTTTTAAGGCGGGTGATTCCGAGGTTGGTGTTGGAGTACAGGAAAAAAGTTACGGGGAATCGCGACTTCCGCGGCTGCAGCCAAGCTAAGACAGGAAGGGTAGGCGGTGAGAACGCGTCTGAATGTCGTGCACCACCACGTGCATTCGATCATCGCATCGCATACGACTTTCACCCTAATTTGTTACTAGGAGCTCCATCAAGCAGTGACCGGTCAGTTGCTTGGGAGAAGCATGCGCGCACATAGGCTCACATAGCCATATGCCCCGACCCATCCAATCCACCACGACGGCATCTCCACTGTGCTTGTCTGCATACACAAGGGCTCGCCACGACGAGCGCAATGAATGGCAACTGGCATAATGGCAACGGAGGTGGGCTCCCGTACAGAAGGCCTCCTCCCACAGTGGACGAGGCCCTTCCGTATTCGCCCTTTACCTCCATCATCCCCTTCTCGCCTGGTCAGTAATTCTGCTTCACTTGCGCACGTTGCCAGAGCACATTTCTCTCACCTGGCGCAGAGGTTGGCTAACAATCTTCAGAAATAATTCCATTCCCAACCGCCGAACCTCCCACTCCGCCCTCTACCCTGAACCCTGAGCAACAGAAAGCGGCGAAGAAGGCTGTGGGAATCTTGAACGCAGAGATCGAGGGCCAGTCCACAGCCCAGCATCTACACGATACCCTCAATCAGCTTCGTAACCTCCTGCTTCGCGACAAGCTACCAGAGTAGTAGGTCCATGCCTCTGCCCCAGGTGAAAGCCGTCCCTAATGTTTCCAGTCACTTCAAGCCCATGCCACTGCTTGCGACCCCTTCACCAGACAGCCCTACCAAGAACTCTAATGGTGATACGCCCAATGCCATATCTGGGCTGAGTCCATTTGCGCGCAAGCTCTATGAACAAACGAATGTAGCCTTCACGGGTAGGCCTCCTTGTCGCCTTGAACATGCGGCCACTAACCAGGACAGCACCGAGTGTCAAGCCACCCGAACAACCTCGAAAAGAACACGCTCCTTCCCGAAACACTGTTACTCCTTCTCTTCCTCCACAACAGGCTCACCTAGCAGCCCCACCGCCACCAGCCACCAGCCCCAACGGCCATGCCCACGCACACAACGCGGACTTGCCATATCCCTCGAGTGCTCTATCTTCCGCTCCCAGCAGCACACCCGTACGCCCCCCTGGCCCGGCCGTCATGATAAAGCCAAAGGCAGTCGCACGCGGGGACTACAAGTACATTGACAACATCAACGTTGGAAGTTTATCACAAAAGAAGGAGGACAACAGAGTCGAGAGCGGCGTCACGGTGTTGAGACCGCACGAACGAGAGATTGCCGACGGCAAGATTGAGGCGCTGGAATCTTTCGTCACAACTTTGACTGAAGACAAGGATGATCTGGACGGCTCACTGCATTTCACCAAAGTCATGACTTCTGACGGCGAATTCAGCATCCTGAAGCACCGGGCAATGGAAACTCTTTCCGAGAAGATGTCTGGTGTAGTCGGCCTTGGTCGCTTCAACGTGCTTTCCGTAGATCTGGCCATGCAGATACAATCACTCCTGCATCCGGCTGTCGTGTCTACGACCAAGAATGGACTCTTTCCCCGGGATGAGGGTAACTCAGAGCTTGTGGAGAATGTCGCAACAGCCAAGTTTGCACTAAAATCATCCAAACTTTTGCTGGAAACCATGATCGAGGGCCGTGACGACTACCGAATGCGACGAGAGGACATCATCGACACCGTCATTGATCTTACGAAGCTGATCAAGGACTCGTGCATCATTCCTATCGTTCAATCACGGCGTTCTGGCGAGGCTCAAGATTTGTTCAATGCGGCATCAGCTTACAGACAAGAGTTACAGGTGGTGTTACGACTGTGTGGAGCTGTTCTTGCCCGGTTTGCTACTCTCATCGGCAAATACAACCTGCCAGACCGAGCACTCAACACCTTGGAGTATCTGACGCTGGAGTTACTGGTGGAGCAGAACAGCGAAAGCGAAAGAGACTCTGTGTTTACCATCAAGAAGTTTGAACATTTCCGCCAGAAAGCTATGGATGTTCTTGCCCAGATTTTCGCTCGCCATCCAGGCCAACGACGATCCATTGTGAATGGTATCCTCGGCAACCTGGAAAAGCTGCCCGATAAGAAAGCGAGCGCGAGGCAGTTTTTGTCGGCTCGAGAAGTTCCTATCATGACAATATCTGCACTGTTCATGCGATTCGTTCAGGTTGTCGCAACAAATCCGACCACTCGTACTGCGTCACAGGCAGACAACGTGCTTGCGAACATGGCCGAGGACGATGTTAGCGACTACGAGCCTGGTCAAGCACCCCTCAAGAACTCAAAAAGAGCAAACGGAAGCGAATCGCCTGCGATAAAAGCTCAGAGACTAAGCACGGAGGCTGCCGCTGAAGCGTCATACATCGTGAAGGAACTTTGTGACAAAGCATCGAACACTTCTAAATCGGGCGACAAACCATTTCGCAATCTTCTGGACTTGTTCATAGATGACTTCTGTAACGTCCTTGGTTCTCCCCAATGGCCAGCTGCTGTTGTTCTCTTACAGATGTTCTTAGTCCGTATGCGAACCATACTCGTGGATGATCAGGGGACCAAGCACTCTGTAGTGGACAAAGACATGGCGCTCACAACCATGGCGACGATCGGATGCGGCGTTATCGACTTTAGAGATCAACTTAAAAAGATGAGGCAAAGGCTGGATATCTCACAGTCAGATTTGTCGTCAGGACTAGATCGTCTCGTGAGCGATGCCTTGAGTGAAGACATCAGAGAGAGGGTCAACGATGTGGATTTACTGGCATTCGATGGCCCTTACCGCATGGTTCTTGAATCTTTGGTCGGCTACCTCGATCTGCAACCTTCTCAAGAAGACCCGCATCTACAAGCTGCGACTGGCTTTTATGTCAGTTCGTGGCTGACGGCTGTCGTCAAGACATTTCCCGAGCGAGATGAGGGCAATAGGCCTCAAGCTATCGCGGCTGTTCAGCGATGTTTGGAAAGCATGATTGCGGACCCGAAGTGGCTCGCTCAAAAATAGTAAGTTTCCCAACCGATCCAAGACCGTTCCGCAACTAATGCCATCTGGTAGCAAATTCCAGTCTGTGTCGGATGATCAGAGCAAGCTAGCTGCTGGTGTCATCACTTTACAAAGCCAGGTGTGCAGATACCTCTCGCAGATTGTCAATCACATGCAGATTTACGCCCGGGACAAGAGTTCCTCGAAGCTCCGCACAAGAGGAACAGCAGGACTGCAACAGCTGCTGGACAAAGACTCAAGGGTTATCTCTGACGAACATATCATCAACATGATTCCATCACTAAGAGATAGTTCACCAATGGTTCGAGAGGCGACACTATCGCTTCTTTCGAACTGCCTGGCTAAGGAATCATCTCTCGAACGACATGTTCTGCCACAAATTTTGGAGATGACTACCGATCCTTCAAATGGTCCCAAGAAGAAGGCTATCAAATTGCTCAAAGAGATATACCTCCGCTCCGATTCGAAGCAGGTGAGGCTGAAGATCGCTGGTCCGCTACTTCTACCTTCGCAGGACAATGAGAACGCTATCTCTGAGTTGGGTCGCAACGTGCTCGAAGAGATATGGTTAACGGCTGAAAAGACCGATGACAGTCAGCACAGGCTCAATCGTGCCCAGCGAGCCGTCTTCATGGTAGATCTCTTGGAGTCTGTCGAGAAAAGCTCCGCACACCTAGAAGCTTTCGAGAAATTCTTTGTTCACTGCCTATCACCCGAAGCCAAGGGTCCGGCTGCCAACCTCAAGATCTGTGGACAGCTGGTTGCGGACTTGGTAGACGAAGTCATTGATCCTGAGAATGGCACAGACACCAAGTCCCAAGCACGTGTCATGAACACACTCAGCGTCTTCGCAAAAGTCAGGCCGACCTTGTTCACGGTCGACTATCTGCGGCACCTAAAGCTCTACATCAAGATTATCGGCACCAATGAGGACGTAGCCCTTGTGCGGCCGACAGTCGTCATCTTCCGGCATGTCCTGCCGACACTTCCTCCTCTTCAACATGCTTTTGCAGAAGAGATTCGACTAAGTTTGTTGAAAAACGTTCCAAAGCTGGCTAGCTGCGTATCCATGGCTTGGCCCAGAAGCAGAGAGACGCTTCTTGATGTCGTTCACTGCCTGTGGGCCATCAGCAAGATGCCAGGTATGGACGCTGACAAAATCTTTGGCACAGTTTGCTCAGTCATCTTAAATCTCCGGCCATTCCTAGGTTCAACTAAGGAACAGGCAGCGGCTAATCGTAAACGCATCCTTCCCTACCTGATATTGCTTGGCACATTCGGCCAGGTATGCAGCTTTGACCAACAGGCTGAATCATTCATTGCCAAGCTTCGCACTTCCATCAGTAGCAATGAAACGATAAAGAGGCAGATGGAGCCGATGTTGAACCAGAAGAACCCTCCCCCTCCCTCTCTTATACTGTTAGACACCGTTCGACCTTTCACTATGCAGACTTGGGAGCTAGAGTTTCGCGAGCAAGCCTTGCAAAGCATGGGTGGCATATGCCAGCAGTCGCCAGAGCATTTTATGCGTGGTGAAGTGGAAAAGGTGGTCAAGCTTGTGTTTGTCAACGAGGGAAATGACTCTCTCAAGTATATTGCATTGTCTTTCTTTAGACAATTCTTTTCCGTCGCTGAGCGGCGCTCTGAGACCGGCGCGCAGATTGCAACAGGCAAAGGAGCTGCCAATGGTTCTGCACGCTTGGAAACATCCTTTACCGCTACAGGAAACGACCATGCCACGTTGCATCTGGCGCAGAAGTTCCTGGAATACTTTGTGAAAGCTGCGTTGGAAAACAAAAACGATTCTGCTGTTATTGCCACAGACATCATTGCCAGTATCAGTCGGCAAGGTCTTGTCCACCCGAAGGAATGCGGTGCTGCGCTTGTCGCCCTGGCGACCTCACCGAACCCAAACTTGGCTCGAGTTGCAGCGGATGAGCACAGGCGCATACACGAGAAGCAAGAGTCGTACCTGGAAAAGGAGTACATGCAGGCTATACACATGGCTTTCAAGTACCAACTGAACATGTTTAGCGATTCTCATGGCATGGTCGAAGCCACTTACACCCCGAAGCTTGCAAAGCTGTTCGAGGCACTGAAAACGGGCAAAAAAGCCAGTCTTAAAAAGTTCATTACCAACTTTTGTAAACAGGTTGATTTCGACCTTGCCAAACTGGATATCAGTGGTGCCGTACCTGAGCCCGTCTTGTATGCTCGCTTCTGCTTGGAAAACCTCGCCTTGCTCGACTTTCCCCATCAAGAAGAGCTTGCTGTGTTCCTCAATGCAGTTGAAGCCATGGTCCTCAACACGACAGGGCCCGCTATCGGAGTTGTCATCGCGGACGAACTTCCAAAGCAATATATGGATGTGGCGCAACCTTTGCCTCAAGACATGTTCCAACAACAAATGCTAGAAGCTCGTGGTATAAGCCCGATGTCACCCATGCTACCAGCTGGGATATCGACAGCGCCTCGACTTGTTCCTCCAGCAATTGACAATAGCAGACTTCGCCAGGTTACCACAGCTTGTATGATCCTGCAGATGGTATGGGAGACCCGCACTTTTGTTCGACGATGCTACTCCGTCAAGAGTAACGCACCCATCTCGCAAAAAGATTACGCCAAACCTGCGCATCGGAACAATCTCGTTACCGGCAAGGAAATTTGGGAACGCTTCGAAACGATCATGCGCGCGCTTGATAGCCGCGAGAGCATGGTGAAACAGTGCTACGACTTTGCAGATTTGCTGGACGTAGATCGTGAGACCTTCATTGATGCCGAAGGAGACGATGCACTTGGTGGAGGGTACGAGACGCCGAATGAAAACGGTGAGGACGGCACGCCGTTACCTACGAGCGGTCGCGGCAGGAAGAGGAAGAGCAATGTGAGCCTAGGCAATACACCAAAGAAGGCAAGGGGAAGGCTTTCTGGATCGAAAAAGAAGCGTAATTCTAGGACACCGGATGGCGATGGCGACTCAGACTAGAAGCCCTGACCGCTCAGCCACCGAGTTTGACGGCGAGAAAATACACCTGGCACGGAAGTCCTACGCCCGTGTGATGATAACTAGCACACGAGCACTATTCGTCGCGTACGTCATGTGAAGCGGAGGCTTGGTACTTTTTCCCAACTATTAAGCATGAAATCGGCGTTCGGAGGCAAAGGCATATCATCGATACCCCTCAGCATATGGTACTGCCATACAGTGTATTTGGCGTTTCTCATTTCATGTCATCGCAAGGCTCATGGCTTTTGCGGGAATCTTTAGCATGTCGAATCCGGATAATTGAAATCTACGACAACATATTTTTTGAAAATATACCTCCTTCTGAACTTCTGTGACGTAGCTCAAAAAACATTTAATACAGTACGTATTCTATTTTCGATTATAATCTGCAAACAAATGCATTCGACCAAAATCGTTGCATTCTTCGTTCGCTTTTAACATTCTCTTATGGGTGCTTCACGCTCGGCAACACCTGTCTACTGCCTTCCCAACATCTAAAAGGTGACGAGCGGTATCTTCTCCCTTACAGTCAAGTTGTTTACCTCGGTATTGTCAATCGTGCTCCACACGTACATGATCATCGGGTCGCCTGACAGCAGCGTGTCCCGTAACCATGCTTTCTTCCTCTTTCGCATCATGAGCACTATCCTGAACATGATCACCCTTGTCTATATTCAGCGCATGTGGAGACTCCGTGCCAAGCTTCTTGAGCTCGATGCCCATTGCATTAGAATGGGAGGACCGGGAGATCTCGTCTTCGCCGCTAGACTCGCTGCTGTATGGCCGAACACTACTCCACGTACTTTTCATACGTGTCGCTGTTGGACTGTAGTCTTTTCTTTTGCGGCGCCGTGATGCTGAAACATTGCTGGATAGACTTTTAGGAGCGGTATTGAGAGGCGCCACGACGTGTTCCTTAGGGGACATGCCTGCGAAAGAATGGTGCGAAATTGTTTCTGTATTGGAGGAAAGGCTTCCAAGTGTGTTGTTGGGGACAGATGGATGGCGCGTGTCCGAGTGCTTGGATGAAGGAGGAGATGTGAGTGGTTGAGGTTCCATGCTTTGCAAGCGGAGGGCACCGCTGGACGCTTCTTCTCTAATCTGCTTACGTTGAGCGTCTGTGAGGCCAGGGAGAGAGTCTGAAACATCGATCACCCGTACGTCGGTCGGACTACCCTTTGACATCTGTCAGCGCGCATGTTAGATTGAGAGTGGCCGTGGTACGTACAATGTTCAGGCCGGGCTTTGGGCTATCTTTGTCGCAGATCAAATACCGTCGAAATCGCATCACGAATATCTTGAAAGCCATCTTATGTTGGCGGTGCGTATGTGTGATGCTGGACTTAATAGGCAATGGGATACATGTACAAATCTAAGAAAGACGGCAGCGACTAAATTCAATTTGTGAAGGACGTGGATACCACGCTAGAATGGCCAGTAGAGATAACCACAGACGAGAAGGGACCAAGATCGGAGGAGATCATGAGGATCTACCCGAAGAGCGACATCAGAGGAGACTGTATGGATATGGACGAAGATCTTTGAGAACTGAGCCAGAGATCTACTTACTTAGCTCATCATGTGGCGCTGGATCGCTCCTTGCGGTCTGCAGTCATTGTCCCGATCTGACATTCCTTTGCTTAGGATGGGGATGGGCGAGTGGGAATCGTGGCTGCGGAATGTAAGGAGCCGTTCCGTGCTCCAAACCTTATAGTTTTCAAACATTCGAACAAAGAACGGTCTCAAGAATTTTGAGAGGATGTTTTGAAAGCAAGCAGATCCACTATGGCTAAAATCAAAGTCTGGAGGCTGTGATTGTTTAGCTGGTCGCCAGCATCTCGGTTTGTGGTACCTTTTGTGATGCTAAGCCTCATGCTTCGTCAGGTCACAAAAGAAGAGGCGTGCATTCGACTGCCATTCTGCCTTGCTTTTGACTTCAGTCCTATGCGAGTCGATGCGTGATGATGCTTGAAAAGGTGCTAGTGGGCTCTGGTAGATGGATCTGTGATAAGGCGACGATACCTGAACATGTCTTTGGGGTAACCCCACAATACGCGTTGACCATAAATTGATAACACCACGTAATAATCGTGTAACCATGATTTCAATGATCTCGATTTTGTCACTGATGCACTTTTCTTAGATCTGACGATGCGACATTGTACTCAAGACGGAAGATGCATCGAATTGGGTGACATGTCTCTAGCAGGTACTGGAACGTCCTGGAGGAGAGAAGGACGACCACTCGTTCGTGAAGCCTCCGCTTTCCATATGGTACCTTCTATTTCGGGTAGTCCTTGACGTGGTAGCTCTTGAGCTTGACGAATTGATCGAAGCCGAATCTGCTTAACGTTTGGCCTCTTCCAGAGTCCTTCCAACCGACCCACGCCAGATCCTAAACGCGTCAGTTAAATATTCAACTGGAACCAGGGCGACTTACTGGTGCGGGGTAGTCGCATCGGTTCACAAAGACTGTACCAGCCTCGACGTCGTCGGCGAGCTCGTGACCTTTGTTCACGTCCTTGGTCCAGATGCTGGCTGTCAGTCCAAATTGGCTGTCGTTCATCAGCTTAACTGCCTCTGCGTCGCCCTTGACCTTCATGACTGGGATCACGGGACCGAATGTCTCCTCTGTCATCACAGTCATATCATGCGTGACATCCGTCAGAAGCGTCGGAGCGACGTAGTTGCCATCTGCAGGTGGGTTCTTGAATGTGGCATTGTCTGGAGTAGCGTTCTTGGCACCCTTCTCCAGAGCGTCCTTGATGTGCGCCTGAATGGTTTCTGCCGAACGCTTTGAGACGACCGGACCGACATGCGTGCTCTTGTCGAATGGGTCGCCGAGTTTGTACCCACTGAGTACATCCTGAAGTGCTGATACAAATTCGTCATGAATTTTCTCGTCCACATATACCCTCTCGACACTGCAGCAACTCTGACCTGAGTTAAAGACAGCGCCGTCTACAAGCTCTTCGGCAGCCCACTTGACATCAACGTCGGAACGCACATATGCAGGATCCTTGCCTCCAAGTTCAAGACCTACTCGAAGTGGTACACGATCATTTGCAGCCTGCTGAACCGCAAGGCCGTTGGCTACTGAACCGGTGAAGCAAACCAGCTGGATCTTGGGTGAGCGCGCAATTGCCTCGATCTGGGTAATGGATCCGCTGTGAAAGATTTGAAGCACACCGTCTGGTAAACCAGCTTCTTTGAAGATCTGCTGGATCTGCTCGGCACTGGTCGGCGTTTGTGGGGAAGGCTTCAGGATGACCGAATTACCGGCAAGTAGGGCAGGTACTAGCGAGTTGATGAGGGTTAGATACGGGTACTGCAGGTAAAGTCAGCATGTGCGGAGCAATCAGAGGCTGTCGCCACACGCACATTCCACGGGAACAAGATCAGTACCGGCCCAAGCGGAACTTTCTTGATGTAACGCTTGAAGCCTTTTTCCGCCTCGCCTGGAGTGTCTTTGAGCGTATCTTCACTGATCTTGAGTAGATACTCGCCGCGCATAACTGCAGTCGTAACTTCCTTCGCGGTATACGCAATGGGGCGGCCCATCTGCTCAGTAATTTCCTTTCCCAGCACATCCTGGCGATCATTGAGAAGCTTCAGGGCTTTCTTGACAATGTCCTGCCTCTCAGTGAGGGATGTGCGACGATAGGACTCGAACGCAGCTACGGCTGTCTCAGGTAAAGATTGGAGATCTGCATCTGAGAGGCCATTGCGTGTGAGAACTGGCTTGTTCGTAATGGGAGAGATGGTCGTAATCTTTTCCAGCGACATGGCGGTGGCGTGTTCTTGGTACGAAAGTTATTTGGATAAATTGAGATGAAGATACACTGTGAGCAATGACCAGTGTTGATCCAGTGGCGTCTTGTGAGCAGTTAATTTTGAGTTGAGGCTTTGCCCGCAGTAACATCGGAGATGACGTATGACAGGCTAACACTAGCTCATGCACGTCCCACTTTAGTGGAGGACATTCACAGCTTGCGCCGAAAAACGGACTCCCATACCCGCCTTCAATAGATATCAGTGAGCTCTCTGACGACTGTTATCGAGATAACGCGGTTTTTAATAAATAATGAAGAAGCGATTCCTGTACCAGTATTACAGAAGACTTGTCAACTGGTACCCCTCCAGTGTTTTAGTACGCCGTAGGCATTGACTTGCCCGTACCATCCTCCGCAAACTTGGTAATCTACAAGCACACGTGGCCTTCCTCCCTCACTTAATCGGAGACGATCGTGGCTGAAGTCAAGTTGCTGAAGTGCTGATAGTGTGGATTCGGGCCTTTTCTGATTGCCTCACTGACATGCTGCTATTATGTACGAAAGCCAAACACCCGCGCCGCAAGCCACCAACCATGAAATGATGGTACTGATCAACGCCCCCTCCATCCATGAACAAGATGGCGAGCAAGATGTGCGGCATTGCCAATTCATCCACACAGCCAGATCGTACGGGGCCCACATGCGCAGTGTTAAGAGACCAGGTACAAGAATCTGGCAGGTGTACCGATTACACCCTCCTTGCTGGAAACGATATTCATAGGGCTGGCTTCGCATCAAGCAGGCAGTGTCTCGAGCGGAGCGTCAGAAAGAGAACCGTATGGCTCTTTTGGGGACGTCGCTTCGTAGACCTTTCCTCTCATTTACGCTGATTACACTAACTTCTATCACTTTTCTGTCCTAAAGCCTTTGGAGGGACGAGCAGGCTTGTATATGAAGTCACTCAGCTATCTTGCAACCTTTTGAAGGGATTACGTTCAATCGACGGGTTTTACTAAGGTTGTTCATGCAAGTTGTATGGCGTCCATCTTGTCGCCCCTGGTTTCTGGAAGCTTCGTGAGCTTTCAGTCCGTCAGCCAGTGGAAGGCAGCAATGGCAAATTCAGACCAGACCTCGATCGTCAGCCTGCACTGCACAGGATCGACTGTTATACATAGCTCTAGTTACGGCGCACAGCTTGGCGGCATG